CATCACTTCATCCTGAACCACTGACGTCTAATAGACACCTAAACTCAAAATTTAGGCTCCCAGACTACAATGAAATTAGCCATTCTGGTGTTTCATTGCATCTTTAAGATTGAATCAACAACAAATAATTAGATTAAATAACAACAACATTTGAAATGGTACATTTTGATCAAAGTCTGCTCACCCCTCAGCAGAGCTCCAAAGAGACAGAAAAGCAGAACTGCTGTCATCTTTTTCTATTAGGTTAAAGTCAAGTTTAAACAGATGAAATGGTTAACATGTGTGCTGTATTTAGTCCTTCAAATCTGAAAGGCAACATTAAATGAGACAGGAACAGAAGTTATTATTAGATAATCCTTGAATTACGAATTGCATTTGTGCTGGTTTTGTCAGTGGGTAACTATCCTCATCTTACCTACGGGAGATAAATTGTAACCATTTCAAAACAGGAAGTTATGTTTCAGACAATTCTAAAACCTTTTAAAACTATTTTTGAACTACAGTTTACTTCACATAGTGATACGAATTTTTACAAGAATATGAATCTAGACAAGAAAAAATTATACAATATATCCACAATCTAATTTTTTTTCTTTTTTGATAATTTAAGATAAGAGCATTTGAAATTGACGCTGACCTCCTCTTACTGTCATCCTACCCTGATTATAAAAGGACTTACAGTCTCCTCACTTTTGTCGAGAAGTCAGCTTCTTCCGAGAAAATTTTGACTTGCGAAAAGAATTTCAAGCTTTTGTTCAAAATGAGGAACCATATGGAAATATGTGGCTGCTGTAAATGGCAGTGTGGAGGGGGAGTGGTGCTCAGCTGCAGGAGGGGAGGCGTGGGGAAGGCTCAGGGGAGCAGTGCCAGGGGAGGTGATCAAGCACACCTGGAATCAGTTGGCTTATCGCTCTCCCCTCTGTAAAAGAGTAGTGTGCTGGACCTGGAAGGAGGAAGGACAGGAGTCCGAGAAGGACCCGAGCCACCAGATCGGGGACACAATAGGCCAGCAGCCGACAAACGGAAACAGCCCACGCCGGGCGTGTGTGTGCGCGTGCGTGTGTGTGAGAGAGTGTGTGTGCGTCTGAACAACAAATCCTGGTCTTGGGAGACTCTGTCGGGGCACCCACGGTGGCTTTATCAGCCTCTTCTTCATTAGCACAACAGGAAATATGAGGCCAGTGAATATGTTTTAATTTTCCTTGGAAGACAGGCCTAATGGCCTAATTAATGTCCTAATGTCCTAATTCACAAATGTGTATCCATCTGTCTCTCAAATTGGGACTACAGTTGCTGTAAGTGTACATATCTAAAAAAAAAAAAAGAGCCAGTAAAATATTTTATAAAGAATAAATAAATGAGGAAAAAAATATTCATATACAGATGTTTGACACGCACAATATTATTTCTGTCTGTTTTATCATTTTTCATTACACTGAACTTTATCTTAAATAGAATTTGACATTCAAATTTTTATTTACAATTTTGTACTACGGTCCTAAAGATAAACACATTATGCACATCATCAGAGGAATATACTATAAAAATCATGCTGTGTGGTGGTTAGCTCCATCGCCTCACAGCAACAAGGTTCTGGGTTGGAGTCCCTGGGGAACCAGGAGCTTTCTGGGTGGGATGTTCTGCATGTTTTCCTTGTGTCAGTATGGGTTCTCTCCGGGTTCCTCCCACCGTCCAAAAATCTGCATGGTAGGTTGAGTGGACACTCCAAACTGCCCTTAGTGTGACTGTGTGTGGTTGTTGGTCCTTGTGTGTCTCTGTGTGGCCCTGTGATGGACTGGGGACCGTCCAGGCTGACCCCGCCTCTCCCCATTGGCCACTGGGATAGGCTCCAGCCCCCCCCCCCAACCCCATTAGGGAATAAGAGGTTAGGATGATGGATGGGTGGATTATGTAGCTGTCATGGGTCTATTTTCTGTTTCCAGTTTTGTTTTGGAGTCCCTTCTGTCTGGTCCTATTGTTGTTGTTCCGCATCCTCTCTAGTGTTCTGATTACCTGACTCCTCCCTAATCACCTCCACCTGCGTCTCACTGTTTCCTCCCCTGTCTCCCCCTGTCTTGCATGTTCCTACTCGTCACTTTTGTCAGTCGTTCAATCACTGTTATGGTCTTGTCTTGGCTCGTCATCCTGACCTTTGCCTGTCGTTCTTGTACTTTTTGAGCCTTTTTGCCTGCCGTGTACCAACCATTTTCTGAATAAACGACAGAGATTCTTTATACCCTTGCCTGGAGTCGTGTGTTTGGGTCTTAGTGTTCCGATCGTGATAGTAGCGTTACTGCAAAATATAATTATTCACTGAGGTCAATAACAGAATATATAAATATTTCTATTCATTTTTATGTATCATATCTATCATCGGTACATACTTCATGGGTCACTCCTACTTTTATATGAATATATATATATATGTCTAATGTACATATTCATGTATCGTATTTTATGTGTTATTTTCAACTGGTTATCCATGTTTAAAGAAATTCAATGTTTCGCTTTATCGTCTCCTCAAAGCTGTAAACTGAATGGATGAAAAAGAAAATGTCCTTTTGAGAACAAAGTTACCACAAGTTGACAGTAGGTGGAAGTGTGTTGCATTATTAAATAAGGAACCGAGTTAGTCTTTTATAAAAACCAAAAACTAATATTAGTGTGCAAAACCTCAAACATAAAGGAAATCTCTGTCATTATACGCTCTCAAACACAGACTAAAATGCTGAGAATGTATTTTCTTTTGTTTTTTCTGTAAATGAACCTCGAATTTGACACGTCATCAAACTCAGTGACACCTGCAAAAGAGAACTTCAAAAGTCAAAAGTCAACTTGACAAAAGTCATGAACCTAAATAGATGTACAAACATATGTAAATATAGGCTTTTGCCATTTTCATTTCACTGGTGTAATGTGTATAAGCACATTTCGTTGATGAGGCTACTTTTTTTTTTGCGCTGATGATATGCAAACACTGTTTGAAAAAGGTTCTTTTGTGTAAGAGAGAAGAGGTGAGTCAATAAAGCTGTACGGAAACACTAGAACAATATTAATCGTCCATTAAAAAGAAGTACTGAATAATTCTTTTGTGCTTTAATTTTCAAAGAAGAACTGGACTATGAAAATGAGGAACCTATGTCAAAAAGTGTCCTCAGCAGAAACGACAGTTAGTTATAGTAACACATTTTTTCCCACCTTGAAAGCACATTTGTGCAGGAAATGCTAAACCAGTCGATATGCTGAAAAACGCCCAAAATAAAGTAACACATTTTGTCGTTTGGCTTTGCACATTTTCTTTTGGATGGAGACCTTTCTGTGTGGAACTGGTGACCAATCAACAGTGTGACCAGCCTCTTGCCCAAAGACAGCTGTGATGGGCTACTTTTACAAATAAAAAAGCAACGTTTAAAAAAATAAATAAAGCAATTTTCGAAATAATAATAAATGGTATGATTAATATCTATCTTAGATTGATTTCTAGCTTCTGTCAGTTAAAAAAAAAATTTGTTCACTGATCTGAATGTAGTGATGTGTTTGAGTGCTTGACCAGCTATTGTAAATATGATTTTTTTTTCCTACAATTTTTTACAGATGGGATTCGGTTTAGGGTTTTGGACTTTGGTTTTGCTGTAGTTTCTGGTGTGTTGTGCCTTAATTTCCGCTTATTTATTCTGGTGTTTATCCTCGTTCCTGTGTTCTTCTTCTGTGTCTCCATTTCCCTTATGCGGCCTTTCTTTTTGGTTATTTTTGCTTAAATTAGATCTTAAGTTCCTGGTTTGAGATTTTTTCTGTTTTCTTCAGCATTTTGGATCCGACTAAGCTGGCTTTTTGTTTGCTTTGCTTTCTTGTTCCCTTTTTTTTTCTGGCCCTGCATTTGGATCCATCGCCATCTCCAACCTTGACAACCAGACTTTATAATCAAAATGTTATGACTTAATTACTTAAACAATTTATACAAATGGAAATAAACCACTTTAATTCTTTTGGGATTCTTTTTGACATTTCTCGTCTTAGCTTCTTTATTGGCAATGTTTTGAACAGCAGTTGGGTTCTGTCTGTTAGGATCTTTGCTACCTTGTCCAGATGGGTGAGAAAAAAAACACAAAGTCATCTTTAAAGTTCACAATAAACCTGAATTGTCCATTTTTTTATGTCTTCCTCAGCCTCATAACGCATTTTCTGAATGCCATTTGTCAGTGCTGATTGAAAGATGAATCCCCACTAGATGTCAGTGTTACACCCTTCAATCTTTAAGCAGAAGTAGTGTGCTGTTATGCATTAGCTGGATGTGAGAGAAGATTATGCTCATATGGGGTTTTTCATAACATGAGCTGTATGTAAAACAGCATTACCGCTAATTATCAACTGTAGTTTAGCCAGTGTCAATTGAGAAAACTGGATTAACCATGTTGCCAACACATTCAGAATAGTGATATTGATTTCAGTGAATAAGTGGGTTATCATCAGTGTGATTGGTTTCTGTTTTTTCTTATTAAAAAAATGTATTAGGTTGTTAGTTTCACCGTCAGAATTTGAGAAAAATTCATTTCAGAGCTTGACTATTTAAGCTTTGATAAACAAAAACTGTAAGAGAACAGAAAAACAGAGTTAACCTTTCCAGGAATGAGACTTTTAGGGGGGTTTTCATAGGAAATTAGGATGCAGGGTGCACCTCAGGAGAGTCTGCCTTTCAATAAAAAAATAAAGTATGGGAGGAGTAGCATATAAGCTCTTCACCGAAAGGCGTCACCAAGTCGGCAGGTTTGAACCCTTGTTTGTTTTTGCTCCTTGGTAATAAAAGTGCTAAAAAATAAGCCACTCACTGGGGATTACAAGGATTGACCTGAGTCTGCTGAGTCCTCTATTTCCACAATAGCCATTAAACCAATCTCTCACAGCGTGTGTGGTGAAAACTGCAGCTCATCACAGCACCCGGTTTAATTTTGCATGGTTTGAGTTTGTTTGTTTGTTTATTTCTGTTACTGCTGTACTGGTGGTTTTCTTTTTGTGGATTTTAATCAGATACGATAGCAGACTTTTGGGGCTGTTTGGTTTTTCACGTCCCGCAGAGGCAGAGCAAGGAGTGGATACCCCAAAAGCATCAGAAGCCCAACAGCTTAGATTATGTCTTTCGTCAGCTTTTGAGGTTGATTGCAATGTCCACAGTAACTATCCATAAATCCATTTTCTAAACCATATTAATCCAATTTATGGCAGACAGGGCAACAACTATCTTGCTAAAGAGTTTCATGAAAGTTTAAAATTCAATATTTCGAAATGCATCATGTTTCATGTTCATTTATGCTCACATAATCCTGCAGAAACACACTCACTAGTGAGAATGCTCAATTTAAAGATATGAGATTTTGAAAGTAGTAGCATTATGTGAAATGTTATAATTAGGCAATATGTAGAAATCTAGAGCATTTACATAAACTCTATGGGCAGGTGACTCCTCTTATTTGACGGTGATAGTACTGTTAGAATTGGGCTATATTCTCTCTTCAGAATTTTATGATAGCAAATAATTCATTTAAATTCTTGATTGTTTTATTCATTTTAGATATTCACTTTTGTGTTAAACTCATCTTCAGGGAACTTTGTCGGTTAGAGCCCAGCGCTGATATACTTTACCTGTGACTTGAATAAATGTCATATTTGTACTCTTGATCCGTTCTCTGGTTCATTCTCAGGCCTCCAATAAAAGAATCAGGCTAACATAACTAAGACACTCATTCTTCTGCAGCGGGCAGTATGCAACTTTTCCCCTTTGCTTTCCTTTCTTCACTGAACTTGACGACCTACTTGCATCAATACGTATTTGATATTGGACATCACACCATCTTACTTCAGGGTCAGGCAGAAAAGTTAATCAGTGATCTATTTTATTCTGCTTTATCTGTTATATTTGTAAATCACTTTTATGAAAGCATCAGAGGTTTCAGCTGTAACCTCAGTCGATGTGTGCAGTGCAGACAGTGCAGACAGAGGGAAAAAGAAATGAGCTCATTTGGGATTTTGGGGAAATGGCCTTCAGCATGAGAGTGACTCACTCATTGTCATGTGTTGTCTAGCTTATGTCTTTCCATAACCAACAGTTATGGGTTATGGAAAAAGCTTTTGAATAATCTTTTAAATCTTTTCATGTCAGTTAAGCACACTGCTTTGAAGTATATATCTGAAAAAAGACATTAACCTTAGGACTGTATATATACAACTAAGAAACAAAGATGTTGCAAGTTTGACGGATTCTTCTGACACAATTAAGAAATCCAACTTCCCCCTCTTTGTTCCTCTTGTTATCCTTCCCTGTCTGTATGGTCAGAGCAGGGCTGCAACCATGCATGTGGACATTGTCTTTTTTGTGTGTCCCCTTATTTCTGGTGAGTAATTTAAGATATTCTTCATTTGCTTTGTTTTTTTAATAAACTTCAGTTTAATTGATGTGATGTAAATATAATTAATCATCTGCTCGTCTAATGCATTTCTGGTGACTGATACATAACAGGCATCTCCAGAATTCCAGCTAATAGAGTTGGATGTTAAGGTTTTTTTTTGTTGTTTATGCAAAATTTTGATTCCGAAAGTTCACACGCAGGAAAATGGTACAAATAATTTATTTTCTTCATAATGTTTCTGTGGGAATAATCCTGCAAAGACAAAAATAATTTCTATGAATGATATAAGGAGATTTTTAAAAAGGGTTGCAAATAACTTGCAGGGCTAAAATTAGAGTTTCTTCCCCTTTCTAAATGTATGTCTCTGTATTCATGCATTTACGTAATGTAGACCATTATTTTGTCTGAAATTTACAATTTACTGTGACTCCTCTACAATATCTAAAATCTTAGTTTAAATAAATCCACTAAACCTGAAGAGTGGATCTCTCTTTGTTTGTGTTCTTGGCAAACTGTATGTTACTTTTCACTTTTGTGCTAAAATTGAAAGCTCACCCAGCTCCCCTTCACATCAATAAAAACACATGATGTTAGATCCTGAATCATATGTGTTTTATCTCTCTGTCTCAAAAGTGGCAATGTGGAGGGGGGTCCATGCTCGCACGCCGGCCCCCTCGGTCCCTGATCGTGTTCAGGCTCTGGTGGGCTCCTGTGTGGTCATCCCCTGCTCCTTCACGCCTGCAGCCTCCCCTCCCCTCTGGTGGCGAAAAGACAGGGTCGATGTACGGATCAGGTTCAGGGGCGGCAGTGCTCTTTTTCCTCTCCAGAGCACTGCTTTTAACAGCCAGGACAAAGATCAAGTGAGCAGGGATTTCCGAGGGCGGATGTCCCTCTTCGGCCGGATTGCAGACGGAGACTGCTCGGTGAAGATCGAAACGGTCAGGCAGGATGACCCGCGGGTGTTCGAGGTGGCTCTAAAGAAAGGTGGAGACTCACTGTGGGGGAAGCCAAGGAGCTTTCATTTGGATGTTACTGGTGAGTGCAGAGAGCATGGTGCTCTGTTTGTTGTGTTTTTACTATGACACACCGTGGTACAAAAGCCAACAAAGTGAATAAGCACATCTTACTTTAGAACATTAAGCCCAGACAGACTTCAATAAAGAAAGGCCTTTTTATAATCTGTCTGTTATTTTTTCCCAAAAAGGCCTAAAATGTGAGTAAATAAATCAGACAATCATAAAAAAAATTAAACGAGTAAGTAAAACTAATTTAAAATTCTGTGGAATCACTTCCAATGAAATACAGTCAGAGGCGGTTTCTTCATTAAACATGATGACATCAAGATCTGGATTGTTTATACAGAAAATCAAGCCCAAATTTGATGAAAAATGTCTTCTTGACAGATACCCCTGAGCCCCCCGTCATCAGCGGCATGTTATCGGCAACAGAGGGACAGCTGGTGACCCTCAACTGCTCTGTGAGCTATCACTGCCCCTCCAGGCCGCCCGCCCTGCAGTGGAGGTGGGAGCGAGGGGTCCGGATGAATGGCAGCGATCCCGGAGCAGTGCAGACCCTGTCCCCTGAGCCAAACAGGCTGGTGTTACTGGCCCCCCTGTCCTTCACTGTGTCCCACCAGGTGAAGCCCAGACTCCGGTGTGAGGTCATTTACCCGGGGGCCAAAACGTTAGCCACAGCCAAAGATCTGCATGTGACATGTTAGTATAATTCTGACGCGCACCTCGGTGCATCTTTGTTACAATCGATTGTTTTTGGTTATGCCCAATTGTTTGAATCTTGTTTTGTTTTGTTTATTTACGCTTTAGTTTCTCCAAAAGACGTGAAGGTTCAGGTCCAGACTTTGACCGTGCATGAGGGGGGCAGCGCCTTACTGGTGTGCTCTTGCAAAGCTGACCCCCCGGCCTCAGAGTACCGCTGGTCCTACACCCAACGCGGTCAAACCGTGCACCTCCATCAGCGTTTGCACGCGGTGCGGATCATGAACGTGACCAGAGACACGCGGGTGCGCTGCTCGGCCCAGAACCTGATCGGACGGGGGGAGTCCAAGCCCACGCTGCTAAACATACAATGTACTGTGACCTCCTCCTGACCATGCATGTGGCCAAAACTTAGAACAGCTCTGATTGAGTTTAGTCAGCAATCATGGTCAGTGCACTGACCACAACTCTCAGATTTCCTGAAAGAGTCAGACTGATTTTACCTTGTCTAAGATCTTACTGCTCAGATGACCCAACCAGCTACCTTATGTGGCATTAAAATTTACAAAAAGTTCTCTTTGATGATGCTGGGTGAATACTGTAAAATAAGCAATATCTGTGTTCCTCAAAAAAGATTTTGTTTCCTTTTTGGATTTATCCATTTTTCATCAGGTCTGACATTTACTTTTAGTTCAGAGAAGTTATTTCCCCAAATGTGAGACCAACACAAATCGACACCATCCCCACATTCAGAGTTTACATTATTACATAATACAGTATTCCATCTATATTCACATAGAGCAAATGTCAAACCAAACTTTTTATCCTTAAATGCTTTTTTCAAAATTATGTTACAGATGCATTTACAGAATACTTTTTGTACAGGCTAAAAACAAAGTGGAACATCAGAATTACAATATTTATGAAATATCAATATCCATGAAAGTGTAAAAGAACCCAGTCTCTGTCTCTCCCAGATAAACCAGCCATCCTCCGGCTCTCCTCCTCCTGTGTTGTGGAGGATTCAAAGGTGCTGTGTCAGTGTTTAGTGGAGTCCAACCCCAAACCTGCCGTCACCTGGAGCATTAACGGGACGGTACCACCTCATGATTACAACGTCTCTGTAACATCAGAGCCCACCATGCTGACAGCATCCCTGAGGGGCCACATGGACAAACCCCTTACAGTGATGTGCTTTGCTTTCAACGCTCTTGGAAACGACTCGCTGGTTTTGCTGCAGGGAGAAGAAGGTTTGTTCACTGTCTTCTAACTGTCATGCACACTAGGGGAAAAACAACTATTCTGCCTCTTTTGCAGTCAGTCTGTGCTGAAACGTGTGCACGATGAACGTGTAGCTTAAAACACGCATCAACATAAAACATAAACAACATAAAAACACTGAAAAACACTGCAGATACATCAATACTTATTAAACCAAACATTGCAAACTGATCCCTGTTCTTCGGGTCTGTGTGCAGAGACAGCACCTTTGTTGTGGTTGGCTTTACCTGCTTCAGCCATCTGCCTGGTGATATCCCTAATGTCCCTTCTCATCTACTGCTGCCGAAAGAGAGCAGAGAAGTATGTGAAGACAATGTTTATTAATTGGCTCGTAAAATTTTGCATGCTCTTTTACTGCAAGGTTCACTCAGCAGTTGTTTTCACAGACACGTCCTGCGCCGACGTCCAGCTGTGTACCCAGAAGGTTTGGGAATTTATCAGGAAAGGCCAACAATCTACGCCAACTGCGCTGAAATTACTAATGTTTATACGAATGGCAGCTACCAGCTTGTATACCACAACTGCACGCCTCTGTTTGTCCACACTAAGCAGGTATTTGATGGTTGTTTCATTTGCGCTTTCGTTGTAGATTTTGTCTACAGAAGACCTGACATGGGTAGAGAAAGCTTAAGAAGTTCTGCTGGGCATTAACACCATCCTCCTTTCTCAGATCTGTCGAATGGGCCGAAGAGGGGGTGAAATAAGACGAGGGCGAGAGGTTGAAGGAATGGATAGACGAGTGGATTTAGGTGTCAGAAACACAAGAGAGGTGCAGGGTGCTGCTGTGACTGACCCAGGAACTGGCATCTACATCGAGATATTGTGAGCTCCGTTAGATTGCGGTGACATAAATTCATTCACATATTGAGCCATTTCAGTGGGGTTGCATTTGTGATTTGCATAATGGTTTTCCATAATTTTCCTCTATAAAAAGATGAAAAGATCTATTAAAAGTTGCACCATTGTTTCGTCTGAAAAACAGATGTGATGTCATCTATCAAGTCAGTTTTTCTAGATGCATTGACAGTTGTAGCCACAGACGTAGTTAGAATTCCTCTTGGAGGACAAATATTGTGACTGAAATTGTAACTTTAACTAAGAGGACTGTCATTTTTTCTCTTTCTTTTTATTTTGTGTATGTCATGAAATTAATTGCCATGTATAAAATATGACTGTTTTTCCAATTGTGTTTTGTAATTGTTTTTTAATGATTTTATACAGAGAATAATCACAATCTTTGTTTAGATGTATTCCCAATATAATTCATAATTTATAATGAACCTTTCATAATTTAATGTATAAGTTACTCAGAGAAAAAAACAAATCTAAAAAATCATGGAGTTCAGATTCAAATAGTTGTTAACCATGAAAACATTTTTTTTTTTTCAAATAACTGGCTGTTAAGTCCCCTGTTATGTGTTAATAAAAAGCCCAAAACAGAAGAATATGTATAAGCTGAACCAGTGGACATGCCGTGCCGACTCACTTGGGGCAGTCAAATCTCTTTAGTACAATAAATGAATAAACGAAGAAGAACGTAAAGCTCCCATTGGATAAGACTCCAACTTCGAGGAAGTTGCGTCACGTTGTGACATTTACAGCCTTTTGGTGGGAAAATGAGTGTACTCCACGCACATTTAACATAAAATTAAAGCCGTTGACATGCCTATTTTTATGTTTTTTGTCACTAGACAGAAGCGGGAATGTGACAAGCATATAAAAGTGTGACAGATTCATGCGCTACAACCTTTTAAGTCTCTTAAACTATCCAGGCTGATCAGTGATAGTTCACTCTGCCTATTGTTTGCTAGCATGCTATCACGTTATTAGCATCAAAGTAAACGTACTTGAAAAAAACGATACTTTTTCGTTACAACAAATTGACACTGTGGGGTCGTTTCGCTGCTAATTAATCGAATTTGAACCCCTCGACCACTAACAACACCAAAATGCCAGAAATCAAACTCAAGCACGTCGTGTCTTGCAGCTCGGAAGACAATGTAAGTTATTATTTTAGATTCTTTATTTCACTTCATATGCACAATACGTTGGCACTCAGTATTGTTTCGGTGCCGGAACATTCCTTAACTCTGGTTTTCTTTAAATACACAGACCCACAAAGCAGACAATCTTCTGAGCTCAGATACATACAGAAAGTGGAAAGCAGCAAAACCAGGAGAGAAGCAAACATCTGTCATTTTACAGGTTTGTTTTACCCCTTTGAGTATTGCAAGCTTCAAAGATTCCATAAAATATTTATAGAGGAGGGATTCCAGTTGTAATCTTTAAAAAGTTGTCTGCTGCAAAACCTGAAAAATAAACTTTACTTCTAATACGTAATACTTTATACTCATAAAAGCTAAATGACAAAAACATTGTCATTGATAAACTTTTCTTTGTATTTATTTAAAAAAACTGACTGTAAGTCACTTGGATCGTTTGTTTCTATCCCTTGTCTGAGTTGTTTAAAGTAATTTTTAATTCAATTTTTACTTTTTTTCAGTTTGAGAAGGAGGAACAGGTGCACAGCATTGATATTGGAAATGAAGGATCAGCTTTCGTGGAAGTGTTGGTGGGAAACTCCTCGGCTGTCAAAGACCAGGACTATGAGGTTTTTTCATGGACTACATGAGTATTTTGTGCCTATTATGTTCATTTCCAGATGCACAATACTGTCAGCTTAACCTTGAATCTCGGTTTCAGGTTCTTCTCGTCACTTCTTCCTTCATGTCCCCCACCGAGAGCCGCAACAGCACCAACATGAACCGGGTGCGGTTCTTTGGTCCCACCCAGCTCCAGAAGAGCACGGCTCAGGAGAAATGGGACCGAGTTAAAATTGTGTGCAGCCAGCCATACAGCAAGGTGGGCACTAGGTTATTTTTTGTTTTTATGAAGGCAGATGTTTCACCTTTGGGGGCTTTGCAAGACATACAATTCTCCCCATTACTGAGATTTTATGAAGCAAAAAGCAAATGCAAAATGAAGCAATTAACTTTCTTTGCTAAACCTAATATGAATGATCCTAGCATGCACCTGCTGCTACAATATACAAATATAACTAAATAAATGTATAATGAATATACATATATAGCTTATATCCATATATGTATATAATATATAACTGCTACATTATATTACTATAGTCAAAATGAAAATGTATGTTTTTGATATTGATCCTCATGAAAAAATATTTATTTTTGACAAATAATAAAGCAAAATAATTTTATGCTATTTACCACTATTTCAGTTTTCCCAAGATAATCTTGGTTTTAAAAAATGCATTGATAGCTTTAACACACGGGTGCTCATAATGGAATTGACAAAATTAAAAACAATTCAAATAAGCACAGCTACGTGGTTTTCCAGCCAGTTGAAACTCCATTTGCTTTGAATATGTAACCCAGTTTTGTTTTTTCCCTTTGCAGAACATAGCGTATGGGATTGCATTTGTGAAGTTCCATTCACCACCTGACAAAAATGACCCCCCGGTCTCCTCTCCTGTAAGTGACGCCATATTATTTGAATCTTATAAAAATCCATCTCCTTGGATATAGAGGCTCAGCTTACTTTGAGAAGAAGAAACATTTTTATTCCGTCACAGGAAGTTGATATGAAAATAGGAGTCTGCAGCTGTAAAATAGCCCTTCTCACAGTAGCCTAAAGATATGATCAGTAAACAATATTAATCAAACAGGCCCATTCTTCATTATTGTCTTTGCAAAGAAAAAATGGTTTACCATAAAAAAAAAGTTACTTTTTCTCACCATCTCGTTTCTTACCATCTGCCTTTTTTTTAATGCACCAAATATAATATTTGTCACACTGAAACAGATAGAGTAGATTAATATTAATTTGCTCCTACTCCCTTCTCGCCTCCCAGAAACTGACAAAGCTGGGACAGTTCCGGTTGAAGGAGGACTCTCCTTCATCTGGGGCCAGCCTGCAGCCTGGCAGTCTGTTCTTCAGTCGGGACCAAACACCAAAGCCTAGTACCCCGCTCAAAGGTAGATCCGTTTACTAAAGTGGAAATATGCGGAAGCCTGATTAGTTTTTTCCAACAATTTTTGATGCTGTAATCTAAAGGCAGAAATGCTTTAGCATATGCAAGCATAAGCAGACCTCCAACCACTCACCGTCGCCTTTTCAGTCTCGCCTCAGAGTGACAAGTTGAGCTATGCGGCGGCTGCTCTCCAGGCAGGTGGCAGCTCTCACTCATCAGGCCAAGCTTCCTCCTCCACCTCGGCCTCACCACAGGTACTAAACAACCCGCTCATTTCTTTAGAATGCAAACACCTGTTCCCTAAGTGATCTCAGTCTTAATTTAGCCCAAAGAGCTCAACTAGACGTAGAAAACAAGAAAGAACAGTTGGTTTGAGATCCCGAGGGAGGTTACAACTGAGTTTAAACTAATCTAAGAGAAAATTTATTTGCTGCTGAATCATTTAGATCCTTGAGGTCAGTCTGTTGTCTATCGGATAGTTTAGATTTTTATGCGATGCATCGTAGCCTCTGAAATATTGAAAGTCTTCGTGATTTTAAATTAGGAACTTTCAAAAGCGTCTCACACCCTGTTCAAGTAGATTTTTTGCAGACTGTCGAATCTTTGTTTTTCTCAGCTTCTGAGTGACTTCTTTTTTTTGTTTTCTAGAAAAAGTTTTTCACTTCAAACCAAAAATAAAGTTTGGAAAAATGTAATACATTGTTATAAAAAAAAACTTTTATTTAGGAAATAAGAATGAGAATCATATTTAATAGTTTGAATTAATGGAAGAAAAAGCTTAAAAAAGCTTAATTGTGAAATATCTGTAGGGTTACATAAACTGACATTTCTTTTTTAGCCACCAGCAAAGAGAAAGTTTGAGTTCAGCAAGGAGCGGCAGTCTGCTCCAGGCCCTCCTCCCTCAAAGAAGATGAGCCCTGCTGGTTCGCCTGAAAGCAAAGCTGCGACCCCCAAACTCAAGCCCAGCCCGGCCAGCACGTCCAGCCCAAGCAGCGGCAAAGGTGACGCACCCATTTTCACTAAACGGACAAGGTTCCTTACCATAACTCCACTAAACTGTTCTTCAACTGTCCCACCGTGCAGCGTCTTCAGCCCAAAAGTCTGCCGAGAAGAAGAAGGAGAGTCAGTCTAAACCAGAGCCCGCACCCAGACAGAAGACGAAAGCCCAGAGTGAGCAGCAGGTCCCGTTCAAAAAGATCATGGAGGGCGTGGTGTTTGTCCTCAGCGGCTTCCAGAATCCCTTCAGAGGGGAGCTGAGGGAAAAGGCCCTGGACATGGGAGCCAAGTATCGGCCTGACTGGACGCCTGACTCAACACATCTTATGTAAGTGCATGTAAATATTTTCAACCGAGATGTGCTACAAGCTGTGTCCTTTTAAGCCAAGAAGAAAAATGATGGTCTTTGTAAGTAGATAAAAAGCATGCCTATAGATGCCTATAGCCTTTGGTTAATGAGAATATTTAGTTTTTATCCGTTGCTGTTTTCTGTCACTGAAGCAGTTTCCAGCATTGGGTAACAAACCTTGTTATCATTCAGTAATTAGGTTTGTTCATGTGTGTGTCTGTGTGTGTGCGTCTGTTTCACTCCATTATTCTCCAGCTGTGCCTTCGCCAACACCCCAAAGTACAGTCAGGTGAAGTCAGCAGGTGGCATCATCGTACGGAAGGAATGGGTGATTGACTGCCATAAAAGGAAGCAGAAGATCCCACATAAACGGTAGGTCAGGCTGAGCCACAGAACAGTGAGCGGTGAAGAAATAGCAGATCAAAATGATTGGATTATGTGGCATTTTAAAGGACCCCAGGATGTTTTTAGCATGGGACGCGCGTCCTGCATGCAGTCTGACTCCATGCTGATTAGCGACTTCGTTTTAGCCGTGCCAACATCACCGGTTTGACAATCCGTGCTCGGCGCCCGCTCTGATTGAAGTACCCAGAAATACTCCCGCCGCAGCAGGGGTTGCCCACTTGCAGTAGAGTGCACTGTAAACTTGAGCAGATGATCCCTGCTGTGATCACAAATTCAGCCCACCGAGCTCCAGCAGCTCTCTAATTATATGCCTCATTACAGGGGGAGCTTTCCCAGCATCAAGGTCTTCTGTCATGGCTCCTAACAAACCTCTGTGCACTGAATAATGCAGGGCCGACTGTTCATTTTAGGCAGTGGAAGGTCCAAATTAACAGCAACGCTAGAGTATTTCACTACATTAAACTTATCTTTCAGGTATATCCTTACTGCCCCCTTCTGTTCCCACAAGTTAGACTTCAGCATCAGGAAATTATACTTCAAGCCAAAGTTTGAAGAAAAGTAACACATTCATATTTATGTGGTGCAGAATTCATCAAATTACCTTTTCATGTCTTTAAAAATCTGATCTTAGCTGCGGTTGCAGATAGTGTTTTATTTGGTGTTCATGTAAATGGCTCATTATTGAAGCTTAAAATCACAAACATGTTGTAGAAACCTTTGCACCAATGGCATGATGGGCGGTCAGAGGTCCGAGCTCGCCTCATCGAACACAGCGCCCTTTCTCAAAGGGATTTATTCCCTTAGTTGCATTAAAAACACTTGTAAAGTGAATTGTATGCCATGGCATATAAATATATAAATATAAATACATCTTAAAGTCATACTTTATGTGCTCATTATTGTCTAGTATTATTTATTTGAAAAATTATAATTATCAAAATTATTGATATGATGATAAAAATCCACAAGAGCTGCAAAGCCACACATTCAGACGGTAAAATAATTTTTTTTTTTTAATTTTTCAAATGTTAAAGATCTACTTTATACATTTTCAACCAAAACAGTAGCGAAATTGTTAAAGTCCAAATTAAGTGCAGGCACCTCGGCCTAGTTTTGCTAAGTGGCAGCGATGGAGGCCCTCGCAGCTTCTGACGTATTTTAGACTTCCCCAGAGACTTGATTTTATGCTTTGCACTCAGTTTCAACAGCAAGCTGTAACTTATTTCTAGGACAGTTTACAGTGTTGGTCCGCCTCGAGTGCTTCTTTCAAAGCTCAAAGATTTAACATCTGCCTTAAGTTTGCATTTACGCGGCACATAAACATTTAAGATAATCCATAAAGCTTTGATACCTGGTGGCTGTAGCTTTTCTCCAATCCCTATAGAAAATCAGTGTGCACGTGTACAACAACCCCTGTCAGGTCATCACTGCTGTCATCAGGGAGGAGATGTATGAACATTGCTAAGACGCAGGCAGAGAGGGATACTAATGGCAAGGCTCAGCACTGAGGTTTTATCTCAGATCCCCACTTGAAAATTGAAATGAGGCGTCCACTGCAAGATCTGTCATCACTCTCCCTCATGCTCGTCTTTCTTTGTCAGTTCCCCCATCAGGCAGTGGAGATCTCACCCGCATTCTCACCCTACGCCCCCCCCCCTTTCCGTTGTTGTGAGAATAATCCATTCCCGTGGCCGTCACTACTATTGTTCGGCACGTGGAGTGTGCAGCTTTGATGATGTATCCTTTATTTAAAAGCTGCATCTGCGATGGGTGATTAAAGAGACCACTTACTTTGATGGTGACAAGCACCCAAACGTACACACTCCCTCTCAAACTGTTGCGCAGTCGTCCTCACAAACACTTCGCTCAGCTCCGCTCACATGTGACTGTGTAGTTGAATCATAAAATGTGACTGTTATGTCATCTAAGGACCCCTCAAATGCTTTCTACGCAAGCGTTCCCCAATCAGATAAGACGAGAGGGAAGACAGAGAGCGGAAAATCACTCCTGTGACATTGTTTCTTAACACAAACAAGCAAGTTAACACATTTCTCATTAAATTAATAATCAGTTGCAACATCTGAGTGTGACTTGGACTGAAATAAAATTAAGAAAGGATTAAATAAAGATTATTTGCGGTGTTTTCTATTTTTAAAGTCTAAAACCATCCGTTCATTTAATTAGTTGAAGATAAAATGAGGATCAAATTTGTTTTATGATCTTTTATTTTCTGTTTTTTGTCATCGGTGGAAATTAATGTAAATTGAACATAAGGCTGCTATCCAGCCAAAGCAGCAAATATGTAAATATTTCACTAGAAAGGTTGCCGGGGAATTTATCAAGCTTTTGTTTATTAACTGACAAATTAATAATTAATCAAGAGGCTGGTTTTCACTGGGCGATACAGATCTAGTGTAAGTCTAGAGTTAAGCTAAATGTTATAGAAAGCTATTAAACCATATCTGAGCTGAGACACATGGAAATGCAAACACTTTTTCAACACAGCAGGTGCAGTTTCTTTCATTTTTAATGTTTCATTTATGTATATTAGAAGACTTAAAGACGTTTATTACGAACGTGAATACAGATTTATTAAAGTTTAGTTTATAAATCATTTAGAAAGTAGGTAATATACATAACTGTTCTGGGGGAGTGACTAACTTTCATGGCTGCCATTCAATTTTTCGTAATAGCTGAAGTTATAGGGAAATAAATGGCTTTTCCCCTCTTTGTAGGGAACATTAGATAAAATAGTTTGAAAAGATTTACTTTGAGTTATTTTTTCATTGTGAAGTCAGTTCTCCGTTGCTTCAAAGTTTTATTTGAAACAAAGCTTGTGTGAGCGGGTCCAGAATGCAAAACGTATGTAATTCACCAGGCCAGCAAATGTTTTAAACATCCACATATCGACTCGCCTCCTGATAAATGTTCCCTATTTTCTGAGACTTGCTGCTGTTGCAAACTTGCCTGACAGGAGCCCCCTCCACTTTAAATGACTTTGTACAAGTAAAGCAGATGTGAAACGAGATATATTGTGCCCACATGCGCTTCTTCTTCGGCTTTTCATCATCCTGACACGTTTGGTTTCTTGTTTTCCGACAGGTATTTGATGGATGGGGCCGGGTCGAGCTCGGAGAGCGAGATGGAGGTGGACGATCAGAGTGAAGAGGAAGTAAACACAAAGGTTAATTTGTTTTTTGGGCGAGCCAGTAGATAACAACGAAAAGGAGGGGTCAGTCAGATTAAACCCTCCGTGTCCGCACTGTTCTTGCAGACTCCACAGAAACAGCAGAGACACGTCACCCCTAAAAAGACGCCACAAAAGAGTGATGAGGAGGATGAATATGCTGGCTCCACTGATATGGAGGAGACAGGTGAGGACATGTTCATTTTGATAAAATGTCTAACTGGAATGAAATTTGTAGCTGAACTGGATGAGTTCATTTCTCTTTCCTGGTGATGGACAGTGGCTGCTGCTGGGACACAAAAAGTGGTGAAAAGCGGCCACAAACAGGCAGCCGTAAAGGTCTTTGGAGTGTTTTATTTGGTGCTGAATTTTAACCAAAGGCTCACTCACCACAGAGAAAATAACAGGGTCAAATTACAGTGGGCAGTTAATTAGGGGAAAAACGCGAAAAAGAGGAAAAATGATACACGGCATTAAATAATCGCCTAACTTATTAATAAGATCAAAATGTAATGAAACAAGCAAAACAAAATAACGCAATTGTTCAGCCGGGTTAGGTCCAGTCCTCACAGGACTCTGCAGATCTGTATGCATGCATAATTTCAGAATTAAAAATTCATCTCCACTGAATATCTGTTGGTTCAATAATTCAGTCGTAGCTCATTTACAATCCTACTCAAACCCGTTTGTCTGATGTGTAAAAGTAAGCACTTGCAATTATTTTAGCTGTGAATGATCAGGCCCTTTGCCAGTATTGCGTGGCTGTTCCAGAAAAAATGTTGAGTCAAGTTTTTCAGTATACAAATACTTATTTGACTTGCTTAATGCACAGAAACACAAAGTCACGATAGCTGGGCCGTCCCCGGGTACTCCAGCCTCCTTCCACCATCCAAAAACCTGCATGTAAGGTTAACTGGACATCTGATTCCATCCTCTGAGTGCATTAAGACTACAAAGTTTCACTGTCCTTGAATATACTGACTGTAAGGAACCTTTCAGCCATGTTTTAATTAAGAAACCTGTTCCGAACAGCCCCTTTTTCACTTTCATCCCATACAAACTGCTTCACTCAACAAAAAAAACATGTATTGGCTCCTAAATAAGAAAAAAGTTCCACTTGGGAGACGAAAAGAAAACTTTGGAAAACATGACTTCTACAAGTGGACATTCTAAGTCACGGCAACGTTTACAGGTCCATCTATAACAGGAGAACACAAATGCACAACAAATTTAGCTAACTGGTGCATTTTTTTCTGCTCTGGACTTACAAATTGAAATAGATCGGGCTTTTCCTGAGCACCACCTCAGGCTCGCGGCCCACAAATAGACGGCATGAATATCTGCAGCACAGACCAAAATAAGCAGCTTCCCTTTGGATAAGGAAGCTGCAGCTGCTCATTCTTTCAGCAGAAAAAAAACTGAAATCTTTTTGACAAATGAACAAGTAACAAAGTATCAATCTGATTTACAGAAATCCATTAAATAGTTCTGACTCACGGGAAGTGATTCATTCTATTTGCTGGAATAGCTAAAGACAGAGGGGGGACGGCACTGGAGCTAAAGAGGGCTGAATGAATTGAAAGCAACTCAGGCAGAATGTGAGAGCTCAGGGATTAAACAAAAGGAATAACCTTTATGAGGTACTTGGAAATGGATGAGTTCCCAGCGCCGCGGTGAAAAGAGCCACATATAAACTGCGGATGGAGTCTGAGGGAGAAGCAAGAATGGAGGCGAGGCGCAATCACTGTGAAGGGACTTGTGCATGATTCTCATTTCTATGTTAATGCGAGGCCAGAAGTAAAGTGCGGAGGTGCATCGTTAAAAAGCAACAACAGGCTCTGACCCAACAACAGGCCAAGTGCGCGTTCTGAATAGACACAATAACACGCCGCCTGATAATGGCTGCGCTTCCTGCAAGGTTATATCTTTGAGCCGTCGATGCATATTTTCTAGAAACATGGACTCATGTAGCATTTTTAATAGAGTCAATCTAGGTGTTCTGAACGGGTGATCGTTCAGATTTAACTTGCAGGCAGATTCCTGGTTAATTAGCTTTAAGACTCCAGTAAAGTTGTGTGGATAACGAACATGTTTTTCCACAAGGCCTTTTACGATAATCCCTTTTGACCCTTGTTTTGCCCACAGGAGGGAATAATGGCGACGATTCTGCAGTGGACACAGAGGACGAGCTGCAGAGGTTCGTCATACTGATGCCTCTTTTTTAAATTGCTTGAACCGACTTTAGATCAATTATCTTTGAGTGCTTATGGGGCTGCATTGAAGCTATGTTTTCTATGATTTCTTTACCCGTGCCGGATTAAAACGGCACCGATAACCTGCTGCATCCTGGAGGAGACAAACTCCATCACCAGCTTTCTATAGAGGCAGCAAACTGAATTAACAAGTAGCACATCTGTTAGCTGCAGTTACACATGAGACAGGAGTTGAGACGAGATAGCTGGAACATTTCCTGTGCAAACAGCTTTCGGGCATGAGTGATCTTCGCTTCTCTTTTAGGAAGCTGCCGTTGTAAGACTTTCATATCTGGTTATTAGCCTTTCTATGTAACCCAGCATTAAAGCCCCTGTAGATGCTCATTTGTCGAACTTTTCCGATCCAACGGCTGCCTAACACGAGTTGTCATTTCCACAGAGTGGAGGAGGTGAGCAGGCAGAAGAAGGCGGCTCTGAAGAAGGCGGCGGTGGAGGAGGAGGACCCGTACGGGGGCTCCACCGACGAAAACACGGACGCCGAGGCGGAGGAGGATCACCCCATCCCCGAGCTACCAGGTCTGACCACAGTCCACACGCACCCGAACCGGTCCGAGGTGTTTCCCTCCCTCCCTCCCGTGCTCCCCCCCCTTCGTCCGTAACCACCTACTCTGGCGCATCACGCAGGCCTTCCTTTCACTTCCCATTCTGTGACCTTTTCCAGACTTCCTGAGCGGAAAACGCTTTTTCCTTTACGGCAAATTCCCCGACAACGAGAGGCGGCTGCTTCTGCGGTACATCGTGGCTTTTAACGGGTGAGCGCGGCCTCTCGTGTCAATTCACAGACAGACAATCCTGAGAGTTTTTGCTTTAATTCCAAAGCCCCTTTCCTCCCTCAGAGTGATGGAGGAATACATGACTGATAAGGTGCAGTTCGTGGTGACCAGTGAAGGTTGGCAGGACTCCTTTGAAGACGTGAGTCCCGTCTTATTTCTTCCTTTTGCATTCAGTCTCTTTGGGAGCTGTTTGAATGTCTGGGCCTACACGCTTTTATCTGTCAATTATACAAACAATTTTGAGAAGAAAATTGCTAGAAGAAACGCTTGTTAAGCGTTGCTCAATTCTCCAAGGAGCCTTCTGCAGAAAGAGCCACAAAATTAAAACTAAATTAAAAAAACAGCCTCTGTGCATCCTGCTTCCAGCACAGGACGTAAAGGTTTTGTTAATTGCTACGACCAAACCGTCGTTTTTAAAGGTTATGATAAAGACACAAAGCCAAATGGAGTAAAAGAGCATTCTGCCTCCCGCCTCATTTTAAAATTCAGCTCTGTTCGGAAGAAGTGCCTTTGATAGTATTTGGAACTGGATGTCAGGGGGTGCTTTTCCTCCCTCTGAACCCTGCGTGCATGTTCGTTTTGTGTCCATTCAATCAGTGGCTAAGAGGGGCACTTCATTCCTCCTGCTTTCCCTCTCGCCTCAATAACAGGCCCTCATGGAGAACAGCAATCTGAACATCGTGAAACCTGCCTGGATTTACGCCATCAATGACCGGCAGAAGCTGCTGCCCTACCAACCCTACACCGTGGTGCCCTGACCGGACAGGAGGGCGCCCGCTCACTTCAGGCCCTGGCCAAGAAGCAGCAGGGAAAAGCCATAAACGTGCTTTCTTTTTCACAGTCTTTCACTCAGAAAAAGCAATAAGCCGACCGTTTCCTTGGTGTTTTGTCTTACAAAGTGTTAATAAATTGTCTTCAGGCCTGTAGATGTTTCCTTGACTGATCGGGGGTGAAATTCTCTGATAAGTTGTATCCATAGAGGTAAATCTTAGGTTTAGTTGTGTTGTTTTTTTGTAGCTTCCCACTTTCAGAGTCATGTGACAGAAAGACCACAACGCCATTGGTCACCTGCTGCCATCTACCTGGACGTTATGGAAAAAAAGGCAGCAGCTCCGGGCCACAGGCGGGGCCCAACATGAGGAATCGCCCTGTCCCGATGAGACCGACCCGAGGAAGCTGATTAGTTTTCTAAGCGATTGATCCAAAGTCAGGTGAAAGGCAGCAGTTATTTAAGGTCACAGCCGATTCTTTCAAGAACAAGAAAAAAAACACTAAAAAAGCCTGCAAACGAAAGTTGGTTTGTTTTGTTTTCCCTCTCTCTTTTTATTTCACTGGTTTTACTTCACGATTGACTTTTCCAAAAAATTTCTCTTTAACGTTTCTACATTTAATTGATGTAGTTTGCTCACAAATCTTTAATTCTTTGTTTATTTTTCTTTGGTTGTTGTTACAGTAGTGCTTTAAAAAAAAATTGGTCTAAATAAAAAAAGAAGCGAATTATAAGTCCTACGCTTGTTTCTTATTAATCAGTCTGACTTTGTTCTGCTCGCGTATATCTCCCCGTGCCTCGGTCCTTGGTTGCAGCTTGAGAGGCACTCTCCTCCTTTTTCAGTAGCGCTCTGATCTCTAGTCCTCTCTCCACTCTCTAATTTACTTCTCCTCATGTTGTGCGCCCGGAGCCACTGGGCCTCCTGCTCTTCAGTCAAGGGGATTAGAGGGGGATAGTATGTGGATGAGGGATGGAGGAGGGGTGGTTGCAGGGAGGACTGGATGTGGGGGGGAAAAGATGAAAAGGTTCCCCAACTTGTCCGCTTGGATTTCACGCGTCGGGTCAGTCCGCAGAGACGAGGCCAGAGCCCGTTTACTCAGTTTCCCGCAACGCGCGCTCATTTAGAGATACCGAGTCATGAACCTGCAGGTGACTGTTGCAGAAAAATGAATTGTGTAACAGAAGCTCCCTTATGCACGAGAACACTCCATCACAGGAACATTCCCTTCTTTTGGGATAGCGTTTTTTTCTGGTAAATGTGCTCACGGTGTATTTACAAGACATGAAATACAGTGAGGAGGGTGAAACTTTAAAAATCTAGTTGTTTTTTTTTGTCCTTTATAGCGTGCTTTTTTATTTTATCAGTGCTTGACATGAAAAGAACTGAAACCTTTTTACAACCATCATTATCATAGATGTACTAACTACAGGTAGTTTTAAATTCAATATAAGCATTATAAGCATTGTTTCCTTGGAGATACCCAAACAGCCTCAGGTAGTTGATGACATACTCAGTCGAAATGCTAAGAGTGCTTCAGTTGAATGCGTTCTAAAAAAGAGTTTTAAAAACTCTTGAGGAAAGGTACAAAACTACTTGACATCCAATATACTTCACATTGTGAAAAAGCTTGTGATCGAAGGCTTATGGTGATTGTGCCTGGGGAAAAAAAGCCACTTTGCTCTGATTGGTCATTTCCAGAGGTCTGATCGGTTCGGCTGAATTTCAAACATGTCCCACTGAATTCATGCTCGTGCTAAATCAGTCTGGAATATCATCATGACTTCAGTCTGTATAATAGACAAAAACATAATGAAGTGGCAAATCTGACATCACTAGAAAGCTGAAGTTTAGTTTGCTTTGACGGAAGGATCAGAAGAAAGCTAAGTACATGGTCACATTCACAACGGGTAATTAGTTTGTCATAAATGCTGACATTTTGCAGTGTGCTGTCATTCACACATCATGATTCAGTCCCTTTATTCTATGCTAATTAAATGTGATTTACATTTTGCATGAAGTATTTTTCTTTTCTTTTCAGGCATCCTCTTTTCCCCCAGCTTTCAGTGACAGTAAGCTTTGAGCATGTCAGTTGTTTTAGGTTTTCTGAATACTGTCTAAACGAACTATACGGGCCCATGTATTCACGACGAAGCATAGAGAGAAAACACTGAAAAGGTCTAAATACAGCACCAGCAACTCAATGCTTCACATCCCTATTGATCTGTTTGCCCTATAACTGTTTCAATGGGAAATCATTGAATAACCCACCTAAAGTCACTAGTGCCTGTGTTCTTAACTGTGTCAAAGAATTTGTTCTGACGTCTTTAGGGGGAAACATACCTTGTGTTGTGGCCTTCAGGCTATTTTTTCAGAACTTTGGATTCACTTTACCTTTCACACCAACCCCTGATCACCTTCATTTTGAGTGCTTTTCAGATACATTGTACTACAAAGATGTGTGGGAGACCCTGAACTCACTGGAAGACCTTTCGATCCCCAGCAGAAGCTGCAGAGGGTCACTAAGGATTGGGATGTCCCTCTTGGACATGTTGACATGTATGAATACAGAGAGAAATCAAAGCAAATGAGGTGAAATATTATGAAAATGGCACTAATGGCCATATTTTTTGCTTTATAGTTCGTAAAATTGTTAACAGTTTGGCACAAACCCTGGCAAAAATGTCAGTCTCTCCACTGAATCTAAAAGTTCTGAGGCTCCTGATATTTAAGTCGCCGACAAATTCAAATGACAAAAGAGGTCTGTTCTGTCTACCAGAATAAGGTCCGTTTTATTTCACAGGACTAAATTTCATGCTCTGTGCTGCTACACCAATTAAAAACCAACTGGCTTTAAACCAATAGCAGCAACAGACGCCTGTTCAAACTAAAGTTAAATAGTTTAAACTCAGGCATTCTGAATAAAACGCAAACAGATGTGGATTAGTCTGGGGAATGGACCATCCGGGCTGGAATCTGTGTGGCCATCTGTTGACCCTGGAAACGTCGACCTGCTCATTACTACGACACATCTGAGGGTTTTACGTCTCCCTGGGACGCACTGCTCCCAGATGTTCGCAGCCTGTGTGCGATCTAAGGCTGAAAACATATTTTTACCCACCAAAACACACATATTCCGCTCCTAAATCAGAAGGCTGAAACACGTGCTATCGTCCCTTCCGCAAACCAGCTGAATCTGAGCATCATGAGCGTTTCTGACTCTTCCTCTCCTCCTCTTCTCCTCCTCCCCCCCCCCAGTCTCCCCTCTGCCAGCTGTTTCCATCCACTGACCCACCTGCGACACAGCTGAGGCTGATGAAGAGGAGCATCATCCTCACTGAGAGGCGTGCGATCGCTGTTTTTTTGTGTTTTTTTCTTCTTTTTTGACTGACCGGGGTTGATGTGAGAGACACAGATACGGGATGCTGCATCATTTCAGACACATTTCCGTTCGGTGTTCGGGAGAGGAGATCGCACCTGAATATGCGCTGCAGGAGGGGGTAAGTTACAGAAGACCGACTTTTGCCATGCATATGTGATACAATTGGAAGGAAAAAAGAATGTAAGCGTTGATACATTCGTTATGGCAAGTTTTGTGGGAAACATTTGACCGAAACGTGCCTTCAGTGTAAAAACAAAAAAAAACTTGGATTTTTACTTCCAGACTCGGTCATGATGAAGACTTCACCTGCTCATTTGTTCATATGTTCATATGCTCAGAAGAATGGATTGAAGCTTAAGTGTTGTGGCTAATGGAAAACAGTTGTGTCAGCCTTAAAGCAGGAGGCATGAAATCACTTGTAAAATGCAGTTATAATGTACATTATACAACAAAAATCCCTATTAATGCTCTAATTTGCTAATAAATACATACATTTATCTTATCCTCTTCTTCTAACAAAAAAATGCTCATGACATTAATGAAACAGTTATATTTTTATAATAGAAAAAGATGTGAAAATCTTCATAAAAATGGTTTGATATCCTCAACTGTGCTTATAAAAATCACTGAATTTTTTCTGTAATATGGTTCAGATAGAGGATATTTCCCCCTCATTTAAAGGGATGGTTGTTTCTGCCTGTGAGACACACGATCAGTTTAGTAAATGGAAGGTAAAGCTGTTACATTGACACCTTAAATGTGTATGCCATCTGTGCCTTGTGGCAAATTGTTACTCCGCTTCCCTTTTAATGGAATTCATAGGGAGTTATTTTTTTGTTGTGTTTTGTTTTCAGTACGTGTCTTTATACTTTGGCTCCCTTTTTTCTACTGCTTCCGAAATGGTACTTATCAAATCTGGGGCAAAATCGAGCATTCATCATATTGAAATCCCTCTGAAAAACCGCAGTATCTCATTTTGAGCAAAAATTGGAGAAGATGTTAAATGACTCCCTGAATAATACATGTTGATGTGGAGCATTTTGCTTCAGGGTTGAGACCGCCTGATGTGTGAATGTTTAAGTGAAAATGTGCCTCTTTTTTAATTAGTTAATTGGAATTTGTTATCAAAAATAGGTTTTTTTATTCAAATTAAGGCATAATTAATATTTTTTTCTTCCTGACTGACTGCTGTTCTCTTGGTTCATACTTGAAGGAGAAACGTACATACCTATATTGGGATATCTGCTGTTTTTTTCTCATGTGAGTGGAAACTGCTCAGACATTTTTAGGCTTTTATGATGGCGAACGCAAGCTTGTAATTTCACCCCTGAAAAGTCAGGGGAAGCTCATTAAAAGCAAAAATAGTCATGTTCTTTCAGCAGAGGATGATCAAACTGCTATTAATACAATCAATATTTGTGGCCCTCGTTTCATCAGAGAGCTGATTATACGCTAGCTGAACATCCACATCATCCATTTCTGCCCCTCCGTGAAAGATTTGAAAGATTTTTTATTTTTTTAACAGGGAAGCTCAATGCCGTAGTTGAAGTAGGGGGGATAATGATGGAATGTGTCTCTGAAAACTCCCTTTTTCTTTTATCTGTTGTACGTTTTTTTTTCTTTTTAATGTAGTGTTGAGGGGCAGACAAGGTCTGGATTGTAATAGACCTGTCAAGTGTGTTGAGCGGGGAGCAACCAGCCGAGGAGGACAAACAGGATTTTTACTGGAGGATGGGGTGATGAGAGAACAAGCTGTTGGATGCTGCTGAACTGAGTTGAATTGAAAAGGGGCAGCAGGCAGTACAGGGATCAAAAAGTAGGTTCAAAAGAAATGCAATTACTTAACTTAGCCAGGCATTAAAGTCTTGATTCTTGTGGGGAAATTAGATATAATTAGTTCCTAACTAAAACTTGAACAAGAATATTCACATCAATCCCGAGTCTAAAAAGGCAAGTTTGCAGGAGATGTCTTTAATTTACTGGCATGTGTCACACCCATAAGGATGTCAACTCTACTGTCCAGTGTCCAACAGAGCATAATCAAAAGTTTTTCAATCTCACTTGTTTGACCCATTCAGGCCGATACCAAAGCTAGATATTTTGCTATTGCCCTCTGAAATGCAACAGGTCTTCATGAAATAGGAATATATTGCATCCCCAGAACCCTGTTGAGATATGTTCAAACGGATTTTCAAATCCGCTCGAGTCTAAAAGCAAACAAAACCCACGGCGTGCACGTGCAGAATTGTGTGGACTTTTCAGGAGTGATATCACATGCTCCTTTTGTCTGAATTTCATGCCTTTGTGAAACTTTGATTTTCAAACCCATTTTAAACATAAATGGATGCACGCACTCGTCTTATTGATCATTGGTACACAAGAGATTGTTTACACAACAGCCAAATGAAACGCAACAGACATGACAATGAAAGCAGACGAGCAGTGTCATCAAATGTGAAACTAAGGAGCAAGAGAAAACAGAATCTTTCTCATTGTCTGTTTGTTGTTCTGAAATGGGAGGAGAAAGATGAAAAAAATTAAAAACAAGATAAATAAAAAAAAAACTGCTGAATGGAAAATGTAACCCCATTCGAATCAATAATTCTGAAAAGAACGGAGAACCAAAATAATTGAATCTCTAGAGATCCAAGCTTCCTGCTAAGTTTCATAAAGGTCTCGGATCTTAAATATTTCGTTAGAGCTATTGCTCATTCTAGATCATCCACAGCAAAGGTCATCAACTGAAAATATCAAAGGTGGAGGAGAATGACTGTGTAACCTTAAAAAAAATCATCAGAGATGGGCTTGTTTTACAACATCACAAATCAGGGGAAAGATAAGGGAAGACGTGTCCTCAAATAACTGCATCATCGCTCAAGGATTTAAGTGAAAAACAAGCCTTCATCAGAACAGTGAAGGTCTCAGAGAGAGCTGCTCATTGGCTCAGCTGATGGTAGAAAAATAAAATATACTCCTACGACCTTCATTCTGAAGTCATCAGAGGAAAACTTTAGTCAATCCAGACCTCGCAAATGAGAGATTTGTAGATGAACCTTCAAATCACTGTTTTCTGCCTCGAAACTAAATCAATCATATGGTGTTAATTAAAGAATAAAAAGTGAGAGTCTCTTTTTATCACAGGGCATAGAGGCAGAATTAATTGGACAACACTGTTAGAATTTTAGAATTCAAACTTCTTCAAACACTGCTTGTTCTGCCTTGTTATACTTTTACTTGAAATCAACTGTCTGAATGGAAAAGCAATGGGATAGGATTTTACCATCTAAAGATTGAACCTAGGTTGAGTTGCTGATATAATCAAAGACTTTGAATGTGCTTAGAATTAATAACCAACATATGATAGCTTTATTCCCCTGTCTTCTATGCTATTATGTTAATTCTTTAAGGAATTACATTGCAGTCGAATGAGGAAACTCCTCAGGGTTCATTTATTATTCAAGTGAAGATGAGTAATTGGTGCTTTGGAAGCAGCCTGTAGTGACAGAAATATTCACCAGGACCTTATGGCCACAAAATCTGGAAGCTGTGTCACATGTCATTTCACAGGGGTCATCGGGGGGGGGGGACAATGGAACATAACAGCAGTTTTTGTTATTCTTTCTGACTATACATACATACCAAGCGTGTGATAAAAAAATACTAAAAATCATACAAAAGTAGAGATATTCATTTTCTAAGGCCTATGTTCAGGCAACTAAACCTCCATTTTGTCCTTTTAGGCCTTGTGAGGACACAGCTGTGTCACATTGGTTAATCTGAAAATCCATTCTGATTTGTTAAATCTCAATCCTCCAAGTTTAACATTGGACCGTACATCGTTCCAGAGGTAAATGATGTGAGATTAAATGGCCAGTTTTAAATAAGGAGTTTGAAGCCATGCTGCTAACTCCACAAAGGCGGCCGTAATTCACTGAGAGGAACATGCCTTGCCTTGTTCCGCTGAACACATTTGTCATTCTCGTTATCTAATTCATCAGCTCAGTCCGCGTATGTAAATTCTGGTTTTTGGCACTGAAGCTTTGGTTTTGACAGCCACACAATCTCAACGACAAGTGCAGTTAAGTGTGGAGCTTTAAACTTTGATCGTAGTGTTGGTGGTCCAACATTGTTCTACTTCTTTAGTCTTTCAACTCTCATAAATTCTTCTTGCTTGTGTTTCCACCCACTTTGTCAAGAAAAGTCTGAGTCAGTCGTTTGCTGATGTTTTTTTTTAATGTTTGTGTTATGATTAAATTAGTCATGGAGCATTAGTAGGACATTTAAAATGATCCTGGTCTTCTAAATTGTAAATGAATATTTGAGCTTGTGACAAGTGCTGAAGGCAAAACATGAGCCACTGTATGAAGACTTCTTCTCTACCTTTCATTAGTACTGACTGCCACAGCTTTGTTGAGGCACCACACTGACAACTAAAAGCTTTTTCTTGGTCTGGTTCACTGTCTTTGAGGCATTTCACTCTTTGATGTGTTTAACCTCATTTATAAAGGAGACTGAAGGAAATTTTTAGGGCTTTGCTAAAGTCAATAAATACTGCAGAAGGAAAGGATTGAAAAATAGAGCTTTTAATATTCTAAAACATAATCTCTAGGAATTAAAGCACGCATCATTATTTTTTTCTGCATGGGGGTTCTAGTTTTGGTGTAACTATTGAGCAAATTTGCTAAAAAATAGATTTTATTTAAAAAAGAAACATTGGTTGAAAGAGTTCTTAGTCTAGAGCTTTTCAAAATATTGTTGATATATGTCTACTTGTTGGCAGTGTTTCATATTTGATTATTCTGTGTGAAGTTTTTGAGATGTTAATTATCATTTGATACAATTTACATCAGTAAATAATTGATGACTATGATGTAGATCAGTCCAATCCCCTCTAATTAATGTAAGATGCAACATTTGCACTTAGATAATTTACTTTTTTATATTAAATGTTTTTTTTTGTTTAGTTTTTTGCTTTGTTTATTATTTTCTTATGTTTTTCAGTTATTAGCAGTTTGCGCTTTATAGTTAATCTGTTCTGATGACGAATACTTCATGAAAGGCTGAAAGCCATCTCTACAGGAGAAAGCCATCTCTGCCATAACTCATGCTGCTGCTCGAGTAATAAACTCCTCACTCTCCTCCAATATAATAATATAGTCTGCACAGATTGAGTTCCACCTCTGAACCAATTCAATATCTAATCAATTCAAGTACCTCCAAAGACGTTAAGGTCAACTGGTGGAAGACAGTATTGATCCGTTAAGCTGAAGTCATGTAGGGAAGTGTTGATTATCACGGTCATTTATGGGTCAGAAATACAAAGTCAAGGCCTTTTGTTACAGTATTTAAGCTATATTCAGTCATGATTTTTTCAGCTCATGTTAGGTAGCTATTGGTTAGTGGTTTATTTCCTGTTACAGTTTGTTTATGGATATTGGCTGGGGGTTTTCTGCATGCTAATTTAAGGTGTGTTTTTCTCTATCAGAGGACAGATAGATAGATAATTCAGGTTTAATGGCTGTATTTTAGATCAGGAGGTTGGGTGGTTTTATCCCAATTCAAACATCATCCTTTCTAGTCTAAATGTCAAAAGTATCTCCGGAACCTTTGTGACACGTGTGTCGTGAAGGCCTCTGGATGAAAGCGAGGTCAGCTGGAATGGCTTTTTTCTCAGATACCAGCATCAAACACAATGTTTTCCAAAGCTTAGGCCTGATTTTTAGTGTGCTGCTGCGCTGCAGGATGCCAAACAACCCTGCTTATATCATAATATACTCCACTTAATAGTATACCTATGCCCACACATACACACACATATATATGCATGTGTATTTCCTGTCAAATTTCGCATTACAGGTTCAATTTGAGAGCAGCATGGATTGTAAACAGAGGCTGTAATCACCCTCCACAGTCTGAGGAACCATGCAACAGTGTAGCTGACCACAGAGTCATCCACTACACACATTCTACACACATAAAAGGAGTGAGTAAAATCCAAGCAACTAATAGAAACATAATGTGGGAAGGAATCTCTGCATGAAACCAGCTTTATCACCATGTGCCTGCTTTAATTAATTAAAGCTCTCCCACCGAAATTGCCTTTTTTTTTCCCGTGTTAAAATCTCTGATAAGCTTTTCCTTCACTGAAATTTAGTTTTCTAGCCCCCTGTTAATCCTCTTGGCACCAATTGCCAACGAAAAAAAAACAAGGCTAATTAAATGTAAGAAATGCTAAATCACTTGTTTAGACAAAATTATGCAACCTAAACTGTGAGTTCAGTACTGTTGGTATTCATGTCCTTTGGATGGCTTCCTGTTTAGTTGTCCTCTGACATCAGACAAAGCAGAAAGCTGCATCTCTGGTTGGACAATAACCTTTTCTTTTGTTGCCCATGGGTTGTCAGAGGAAGAGTCAGCCTTTGTGGGATCTACTGAGAAAGGCTGCACACTGGGTCACACGAGGTCTTTTGGTAATTATTTTTCTCTCCTCCTCCTTGTGTCATCAATTTCCAGCCCCGCCATGGTCACTGAAGCAAGATCATGACTTTCCTGAATGAGTCCAATGAGACCTCCTCTCCCTCCTTCCCTTTGTCCCCTCTCGAGAAAAATGTCTCTGCTTTCATCAGCCACGACCCCTCATACTCCTCCCTATCCTTCCCCACCTCCTCCTCCCTTTTGACGTCCCCCAACTGCACCGGCGCCGCATCGGCCTCCTCCCCTCCGTACAACTTCTACGCGGTGCTGCTGGTCCTCCTGATCTTCTGCGTGGTCTTCGGGAACGTGCTGGTGTGCGTGGCGGTTTCCCGGGAGCGGGCTCTGCAGACCACCACCAACTACCTCATCGTTTCCCTGGCCGTGTCCGATCTGCTGCTGGCCACGCTGGTCATGCCCTGGGGCGTTTACCTGGAGGTGTGTGTGTGTGTGTGTGTGTGTGTGTGTGTGTGTGTGTGTGTGTGTTGTGTGTGTGTGTGTGTGCTCGCATTTGTGTTTGAAGGCTTCAGCATTGGGATTGTTTTCGTCAATCGTCAGCAGAAAAAGTTGAAATCACATCTGCAAATGCCAAATGAGCAAAAAGTGTCTTTTAAACTTTGTGAAACTATCCAACCTAGCGGACGCAAAGCAGATAGGGTTGAATAATTTGAGAATTGCATTGACAAGACATTTTATTGCTAAATTAATAAACAGAATGATAAATGAATTTATCCTTGCTCTATAATAAATAATGGCAAAAGTCACCAGTTCCAGGTCAATATTTTTTACAGTTTCAAAGATCAAGCTTCAAAACCTCAATACTCAGTTCAGATGCTTTTAATGTAAAAAAAAAAAAAAATAAAATCAATAAAAAGTCAATCCTCATCTTTGGGAAGATGTGATTGATCATTATTTAGTAATTAGATGTGATTTATTTAAATTATTAACCACTACAGCAAAACCAAAAAGCTCATTCAGCTAAATACACACATTAAAAAACAGATCAGTCATCAAATGACCCACAATCACGGAGTATGTCACTGAACAATTAAAGACAACATTGTCATCTTTTTATACTTCAAACCCCTTCTACATAATGGTGAAAACAAATTCTGATAACAAAAAACAGAACTTAATGCCAAGGCTACCCCTTCCAAAAACTGAAGATTTCTTCATTGTCCGGTTTTATTGATCCGCTCGTGTAAAAACAAAAATTGCCAAACTTCACAAAAGAAGAGCAAAGTTAAAAAGGAAGCGTGAGAGATGTTTTTTTGTTTTTGGTGTTCTGGAAGGTGGTTGGAGAGTGGCGCTTCAGTCTGATCCACTGTGACATCCTGCTCACCCTGGACGTCATGATGTGCACGGCCAGCATCCTCAACCTCTGCGCCATCAGCATTGACAGGTGGGTCTGCCTTTTTGACCTCACTTTACTCTGATTGCTTTATTTATTCATTACGTTTGTCCGGACGTGTCTCCTTTAATCTATAAAAACCTAAACCTCTCGTTGTTTTTATTCCATTCAATGCTAGCCATCTTATCCAGAACAGCCTGCAAGCGAATAAGTTGTTAACATACAGTACGCAATACAACGCAATCTCACAAAGCCTGGTGTCTTTTCCAGTCTCCCCTCTGTCCACCACTCATCTTATGTGTAATCAGACTGGTATAATGAACCATGAATAGGCCAGCATCCAGTCATAATGATATTCTAATTAGATTTGAGCCTGCTATGGGAATACAATCAGGTGGTGTCACTTTAACCTGAACTTGACGGTTCAATTGACACCCAAAATTGAACATTTCCAAGAGAGTGATTGTTTGATCCAATATTTCCAATCATTTCCTGTTTTGTACCTCAAACCAATAATAAAGGTCACATGTAGAAATATAAAAACAATTATAATAAAAACTGATAATAAAAGATCAACAGAGAAATTTCCAGGCTAAATGGAAACTGCAAAGGAGGGCAGGATGAGGCAGAGCTGGAAAGAGAACATTAATTATCCATCACCATTATCTCTGAGCTCTGCTGTTGGTTCAGTCATCACTCAAAATGCTCAAACTCAAAATGAACTTTATTTCCATACTGCACTTCTGTCTCTGGTGCACTCTAAGGACCATTAAATTTGCAAGCTTAACTTGCATTTCGAGTGGAAAAACTCAATTGCTCCCCCAATGTCTCCCAATCAAAATAACCAAATTGGTAATTTGTTCATTCCCCCGAAATGCAACCCCATGACAGCTCTCAGTAAAATAGAGAGCAACAGTGAGCTGTGGGAAGGAAACATAACTCTCAGAGAGGAGGTTTGAAAACATTAATTGCTGTGATTTCAATCTTTTACAGTTTTTTCTTTTTTTGTCACTTCTTAATTCTGTTTACTCATCCACTCTTCCGGTAGGGGTGAGGCATTAATGCTAATTAGATGATGTTAGAAATAAAAAACCATTGGACTTAGTTTCATATCCAAAATAAATCCATTAATCCTTCACAATTCTCTAAAATGCAATCTTTTGCATCATTTTTCCAATTCAAATTCAATTACCCTCCAGAGGCCACAAGAGGCGCATCATTCTAATATAGTTGAATATCTTACTGCTTTTCAAGAACAAACAACCCATTTTTGACAGGAAGTGTCTCATCTACATTCTAGTCTGCAGCATGCTTGATGCCATTATGCATTAACAACGTGCACGCTGCCGTGGGTACACCGTGCCACAATATGTGAAGCTATGCTGACTCAGCAGCCCACAGCTCACTTCAGCATGCATTGCAAATGAAAGTACATGGTTTGATCTTGTGAATAAGTAAAACATAACTTGTTCAACATGGCGAAGTAAAAAAAAAAGGGCTCGATGATGCCCGGGGCTGAATATCAATGGGACTTGATGAAAATCATGATAATGATAAGGGCAAATCTTTTGCCAAGTCATTTCTCAGACTCTTAAAGTTCTGGGTTTGATAAAAGAAACTTAACATATGCTCAGTTTCCTGCCAGCCAAAAAAAAATAAATAAGGAAAACACTTTGAAGATGCATCCGCCTCTCACTGAGCTGTTAGAAAGTCCTGTGGTCATTAGTTGTCTTTAGATTTTCCCGCAGGAAAAATGGGAAGACATGCCCTTGTTGTCGTTTATGGACATTGCTGTTTCTTTTTGATATTCTGAATACAAGGAGATCACGTTTGATCATTTTTTCTTCCACCTGATTGCCCTCATGGTCCAGAGGGAGGTGACCAGACCCCCAGGACGCAGGTCATCCGTTTGTGTGTCCTAATTCCTCTGACAGTCACACTGAGGCTGGCCTAGTTTCAAACTGTGCAACTTGGTATCATAACTTTAGACCGGAGCTGCATTGATTTGCTGAGGTGGTGGATTGAAGAATTCTATGACAAAAAAAAACACACAATTGTGATAACGTTGACATCAAACATAATAAATGACAAAGGCCGGAAAACCCCCAGCAGACAGGGTGCTGCACGATCTTTTTAAATAAAGTACAAACCCTGAAGAACATCCAGACAAGTGAAAGACAGGAAATCATTATCTAAACCTACCAGTCATTCCTTGTTTGCGCATTGTGACGAATCATTTAGAAGTTTTTTCATTTCAACATTCTTAACTGTCAATATTCTTCAGAATTGAAGGTCAGGAGAATAGAAAAAGGAGCCTTGTCTCCTAAGCTTTATTTCAGTGCATAGAATATACTTTGCAACGTGATAGTGTGGACGTGCATTGTTCATTGGCCTTGTGATGATAGTCAGAAGATGTTGAATAAATTCCAAGGTGAAAAAAGGACAGCCTGCTCACCCACATGTAATCAATGCAGTAAAATTGATCATGGTCCTCAGAGTGAAAATCTTTAATTGCCTCAAACAAACCAGCAATTCAGTTAATGAATGAAGTAAATTTTGCAGAGACCTCATCACCTCATCTGAATCAGATTTACTTTTTGTTTTCAAACACCCGACCACTTTTACTTCAACCCTAAATGCATAAGACCTTGCAAATTTAGCACATAAAATAAAGCTGTGTTTTTTTTTTATTCATCCATTTTCTTTAAACATTTATTCGAGTTCAGGGAGGGAATCAAAATTATGCAAAAATGTCAGTTTATATCATATCTTTTAGAAATGGTTGAAAGTACAGGGAACAGTTCTAGAAATAAATATTTATCTGTGAATAAAAGTCCCACTTTTGCTGCTCTCCATCATTCCTATTCGGCTTCTTTGTGACAACAGACTCGACACGTTTCAATTGTATATTGCAGATTGTGTCAACGGAGACAGCAAAGATGTTGTTACATTAGTACACATGGAGACAGATTCTTTTCTGTCCGTGACTTCCCATCTATCTTGAGGATTTTGGCAGCTCATTCGAGACTGCTCACACCTGCGTTTGCAGAGGATGACTGCAAGCGAATCTGTCAGTTGTGTGTTCTGTGTCCTTGTGACTGTGAAACAAGGAATGACAGCTTTTATCCATTTGACAGAAAACTGGGAATTTGTGTCAAGCTCATTTTGAAATTTGTGAAAACATGGCTGAGGGATAAGCAATTGAGGATGCATTCAAACAGGTTTACTGCGTACGGGCGTGTGTGAGACATGCCGATGTGAGGTCTGTGTTTTATACGTCTGTGCTCATGTGGTTTTGCAGATACACGGCGGTGGCTATGCCTTTGCTCTACAACACCAGATACAGCTCCAGGAGGAGGGTAGCGGTGATGATTGCCGTGGTGTGGTTCCTCTCTTTTGCCATCTCCTGCCCTTTGTTATTTGGACTGAACAATACCGGTAACAGCACAGTTTGACGTTTCCTCTTCAGTTACAGGGCACCTATTACAAAGCCAGTCACGACTGGCCGCAAACCTTTCTGCAGTATAGAAGGTGTGGTTCCTCTCTTTTGCCATCTCCAGCCCTTTGTTATTTGAGCTGGGGTGAAAATCAGTTAAAGGAACTAAAGGATCTAAATCTAAACATGCCAGGGTCACCAAATTTCCCATCTGGGAGGAATATAGTAATTTACTCTATTCAATTCTAAGCTCAGCTTTGAGAAGAGTTTCCAGATGGTCAAAAATGGCTATTTGATTTGCTTTGGTACATCAGTGACAGGTTACAGAATCTGTTTCACTTCAAAGGAATTGCACTTACAGAAATGGTTCAAACGTTGGATTTCCTTTGTTATCGTTTCACAATTTTTGAAAACGCATAACTGAAACTGGAAATATTTCCCTGCCCTGGTTTAAACTTAAACAGTGAAGATAGTAATTCTAACCAATTCCAATGTCATGCGACTAGAATTAGGTTCATATTTGCCACTTTGATGAAACAGAACAGATCCTCCCTCAGTAACTCTAAGTGTGAAAGTCGGAAATAGTAGCATGAAGCTCCTAACCAGATTTCCATAAAAATATAACAATGTTGAACACATTTCTGAAGTTCCCGACAGCCTTAAATAGAACTGAATTCCTGCAAATACACATCATGCTAAACTTTTGCCACGTCGACAAGCTGCTTCAGGGTTGGTAGCACCTGTGTGCAAAAATAAATACCTTTCAAAATGGATACTGTTCTTCTATTTGCAGCTTAAGCATATTCGCATTTATAATACAGCTCTGAGATATCCAGTGCAACCAGAAACACAACATATTTATGAACAAATACCTTTACAAGGTAACGCTGACCCTGACTTTATGTTTAGAGTTAGATCCTTTAGTTAATTTAACTGCTTTTTACCTAGCCCAAATACCTTGATTGATGATTTCTGTTTCTGCCCTATTATAGAAGACTTTTGTACGTCCCATGGCCCCATGGTAAAATTTCTTTACCTCTAGCATTCTGATGTGTTTGAAACACACAGATTGTTAATTCTGTATCATGATCTGTTCATTTTCCTAACGGCGGCAGCTGAGATGTGGAGCTCTAGCTCTCACTGTGCTCACTCTGAACTCAAAGAGAACTTGGAATGAAGAGAAAACACAAAGAAGCGTGATAGCTTACATCTGGCAGAGTCACCGTGGTTCAAACCACAGCAGGACACCGAATAATGCATGCCGGGCAGAAAAATATCTCCTCACTTTCCTATAGTTTGTGCCACACAGTTTGGAGGGTTTTCCCTCATCCATGTGTTGTTCATAATCAGAGTGTCTGTCTCTATAACCAATATGATTTCCTCAATCCTCCCAAAAAAGGCTGACCATTGCAGAGTTCTCTCCTGTGACATTACCCCTGTTATACTACAGTAATAAAAATATAATATAATATTAATGACAGCTCAAAGTTACATTTCTGAGGATAGGATGGAAGGTCATTTGGTGGAGAGCAGTAGATTTTAACTGATAGATCTGTGCTCTCATTATTTGATGATTCATGTGTTAATCTGAATACAATGTTTACTGCTTGAGTTGTTTGTTTAAAAAAGTCCTCTATAGTATCTTATGTCTCAGCTTCTGACTTGACGTTGTGCAGAGTGTAGTCAGAATTGATACAATCTTCTCATCTATCTCATATGGTTCCTTAAAATGTAAAAAAAAATATTTCACTGTGGCCAAAGAGAAATCTCCTGCAACTCTAATTAAGTGTCCATTTTTTTCTGTTCTATCTGCTCCAGCAAGCCGTGAAGGAACCACGTGCAGCTTTGCAGACCCAGCCTTTGTTGTGTATTCGTCCGTGGCCTCCTTTTACGTCCCTTTCATCGTCACATTGCTGGTTTATGCCCAGATCTGTGTGGTGCTGCGCAAGCGAGGCAGGCGAACCGCCCCCCCGCGCAGACACGGCCTGCTCGCGCAGAATGGGACTGAAACTGGAGAGGGGCGACACCGAAAGGTGCAGCTCGTGGATACCGATGGCTTTTTTTTTTAGACGCAATAGTTTTTTACAACAAAGGTTGTTAAAGTAGTTCAACTCTGAGACAATGCCACATGATCCACATTCACCAAAGTGTATGTAGAGAAAACACTGGTTGTGTATTGAACATTTCTCATATAGTATAGTATATGTCTAATATACTGCCGAATGGTCCAGATTGGTCTTTATTGATATATCTTGTTGCTTTAGACATTGTTATGTTTTGTAAATTAATATTAGCCATTGTAATCTTATACTCTGTAAGTCAATTACACTGTTAGAGTATTGGCTGTAGTCCAATGCTTCTATTTAACTGTGATCTGCTTCCATTTGTAGAATAAATGTACACAGCCCGAAGATGTGAAGTTGTGCACCTTGATCCTGAGACCAAGCACTGCAGGCCCCCAACGCAAGAAAGTGGTGAGTATTTCCACAAAAAATCAGCCCTCAATATTCCGAAGTTCTGTCTCTACTGTGTGTCATTTCTGTTTAGCCTCCCGGCTATGTTGTGATTTTTGGCTCGCATGTTATCATCATCTTTCTTTTTATATTCATGAACACCCGCTGTTCCTCTTTCATCTTTGTGTTTTCTAAGCATCCGAACCTGTTTTGTCCTCAAAAACCTGGCTCCCTCTCCCTGTGTGTGGCAGACTCTGGTGAAAGAGGCAGTGGTTCACCCCCTTGAAGTGGAGCCGGGTCAGTTCCTGCCGCAGACGGAGCAGAGTCTGGCTCCTCCGCCCGCTCCCCAGACCTCGTCCCACTCGGGACGGGCCCGCATCTCCCTGTCCATCTCTGTTGGGCCCGCCCCTGTCCGTCCCGCTACCGTGACGCGATCGGCCCTGACACCCCGTCCTCCGACACTAGAGGACGGCATGAGAGGTCTTGAGGGGTGGAGGGAGCGGAGCGGCGGCAGGGAGAAATGGGGCGCGAGCAAGGAGAGGGTGAGGGGGAGGCTGTCGCAGCAGAAGGAGCGGAAGGCAACGCAGATGCTGGCCATCGTGCTCGGTGAGCAAGGGGGGGAGCATCCGTGAGATGTTCACACTCAGACCGTGTACACGTTCCTGAGTTACAGCCAGACTCACCGTTTCTGGGTGTGTGTATTAAGCTGCTTCTGTGTGTGTGTAAGCCAATGAGCGAGCATACATCAATATCCATCCATATTATGGATGCTGCTTTGAAGTTATTTCAGGATGGATTCCATACAGAAGTCACACTTTGAGAGGCCAGCACCAGCATCATCATGACTGTCCCACAAAGACTGAAACCAGAGCAAATTAAAACACCTGCATTGACCAAAATCATTTCTGAGACACTTCAGACAGTTTTGTTTCTTTAGATAAAGGAAAGGAAGGACAAATTGATTTATTTTGTATCAGGGTGAAAAGAAAAGAAAAGAAAATTACAGCCAAAAGCAACTGTGTGAGGAAGAATTTTCTCTTTTACATAATAGAGGCTCCAGTGTTTCCAGTGTCAAATCAGATGGTAAAGCAAGTTTTTCAGCTCCAGTATTGATGAAATTGAAAAAGCTCTGATGATGACTACATTGACCTGTAAAACATTTAGACCTGTTGTTGTAGAACCCTCTAAAAATCTGAGACTGGTCACTGACAGCAGTTGTTTTTTTTCTCTCTCTTATTTCTAAGGTGTGTTCATTATCTGCTGGCTGCCTTTCTTCCTGACCCATGTGCTGAAGGCCCACTGCAGAAGCTGCTGCATCTCACCCTCTCTGTACAGCGCCGTCACCTGGCTGGGATATCTCAACAGCGCCGTCAACCCCGTCATCTACACCACTTTCAACATTGAATTTCGCAAAGCCTTCATAAAGATCCTGCACTGCTAGGCCCGCGACAAGGCGAGGCATCAGCTGTCAAAAGGAATAAATAAGTAAAAGCCCGACATTGGTTTTAGATCTGAGTGGAGGGCACGTGGTGGAGAGGGTAAAAGAGTTCAGAGGCAGTTTGGCGCACAGTAAGCGGCAAACTGGCAACGGACAATCTGGTCAGCCTTCAAATCAAAGATGTTCAGGATTTTAAGGAGACTTTTGGAGGAGAAAGTGGAACCAGCAGCTCAGACGAGACGGGAGGATGACAAAATCGTCTCCTGACAGAATGACATCAAGCACAAAAGGAACAAGTAAAACATAAAAGAAATGAAACTGTGACAAGTACTAGGGTAGCTACGAGAGACACAAACAAACTGGATATTTATGGAAGAGAAGATGTGCATACATATATATATTTTATTTTTTTTGTAAAGGGAATATGTGAGAACTTGGGCTCTAGGCTATCACAGACTCACATGTGAGAATCACTGAGACGTGACTGTTTTTTTCAAGCTGTCTGAAACACTTCCTTCAGACCGTCAGACTTTTGCGTCTTATATCTTGTACACTTGACAACCCAACTTGTCTGCTTGCATGTGCATCTTTTTTCTTGGACAGAAATAAGTCAATCCATGAAGAGAAAGAACGGAAATCACTTCAGTGTCAGACTCCAACTCCGAATGCTATGTCTTTTCTATACGTCCCAGGTTTTTCCATATCGTCCCCAATAGGCTGATAAATTTTTACAGAGACAGAATTATGGATATGATCATGAAGGACACTTAAAGAATCACAATCACAATACATCTTCCCCAGGGTGTGTTTTTGCTTTATGTATTGACGTAAAGTGTTGTGCTGATCATAAGAATTGTATTGGTTTCAAGCATGATTGTACAGAGCATTTAGAAAATAGATATTGTCTTAAATAGCTCAATTAGTGTCTAAATGATCCAAAAAGAAACATTGTTAGACACAGTACATGTTATATTTTCACTGAGAACAAAAGAACATAATAAAGAAACATTTGCAAAATTGTAGTTCAGTTTGAGCTCTAACTTAACACGGGATGTTTTTTTTTTTTACGAAGTAATATTATTTAAAAGTGTATTTGATTGCCGTCATTTGAAGTAATTCATTAAGGTGTGTTGTGCTGTAGAGGAGAGATACTGACCAGCTGTGTTGAGATGCTCAGGGTGCTTACTGTATGCCTCTTCTTCAATTATAATATCTGTAATCTAACCTACAGTACACCTACAGTTACATGAAATGGAAAAAGAAAACTCTTGAGAAAACTCACACAAAAAGACTCAGACAAACTGTTATTGTGTGACTCCTCGATTCATAATGGGAGCATGATAATCAGATACCTACCCCTCGATTATGTGAAATCTGATTCTGTTGACATGAGCATGTGCTGCCCCTGATATTCCTCAGAGCTTGCGACTGGGAGTGACTGGTCGGTGTGGTGTACATTACCCCCCGTTGTTAAACTCTGACCCAAGCTCACAACAATCCCCATGCATATTTCATAGACTCCCAGTGACAGCGAGGGCACATATCCGTTACTGACCCGACTCTGCTGCTTATCTCCACTTCTGCGACCAGAGGAGAAAGATTACGAAAAGTGGACTGGAAGGAGCAGCAGCTAAGTCTGAATGGTGTGATACAAGGAAAGAATTAAGTGATAACTGAGAGGAGGAGGAGGAAAGGAGCAGAGGGGACAAACTGGAAGATGGATTCACGACAGGGGAAGAGATATCTTCGAATTCATGATGTACAACAGCAAGCAAGCCCTTTCAGAGTCTTGTCACTGATAGTGCACCAGTGATCTATTTGTTTTCCTCTCAGGCTGGTTTCATTAGTGCAAAGATACACAAGTGGATAAATACTTGTATGCATACAAATGAAGGTGCAAAGTGGCTGATTTTTAAGGTGAGCTATCTACTGTTTGGAAACCTCTTGGTCATGGAGAATGTAATGTAATATTTTACATGTCATTTTGTTTGTTTGTTAAGGATTTTGTCAGACTGTAATCTACCAGTCACTTACTGTATAGTATATAGTAAGCTTTTACAATATATGTTTAACAAAAAGTTAGCCGTCTTGTTGTCTACACACGCATATTTATATGTATATATATATATATGTGTGTAATTTGTCAAGTCCTTTAAGGTTCTTTTCATTTCTTTGCAGGATCTGGGGCTTCCATGTTGTTCCCTTGAGCACTGCCAAGCATGTCTACTGAGCTTCCTGCAGTCTACAAGCCACACAGTATCATTAATCTCTGTAGACATACTCCGCCATCCATTGCTGCTCTTTGTCACTTCAAAAGTATGGATTTGCAGACCCCAGCAAACAGCACAAGCTCATTTCATGCCCAGCTGCCAATGGATACCTCGACCAAATCCCTTGAACAGAGGTCCACAAGTTTTCAGAGTCCTGTCAAAAATCTGAAATTAAGCATTTCATCCCTGGTCCAGAATACAGTCCACACAATAAATTCCATCTGTAAACCCATACCTGCTGGAAAGTTGTATCCAGAATTTCCATCTTCTTCTGAACTCTCATCAGAGCCTGATGCACCTTGTGGAACAGTCCCCTCTCCCTCTGCATCCCCAGAGACCCAAGATCAGACAACTGTGCCGTCGCCACCCTCTTTTAATGAAAATCCTGTGGAAGTTCAGCAGAGAAAGCCCTCTGATGAAAACCCACTGGAGGAGAGATCTGTAGGTCTAATGTTACCCAAGGACCTCCATAATGAAGATCCAGGTATGCTTATGATTAAAGATGGTACTTTGATGTAGAATCTTCATAAATTTCCTCAAAGCCGTTCCTTACATGATTTAAACCAACACACGCACACACAAAACACATATACCTCTGATGCCCCTCCCCTCAGAACCCATGAATCTGTCAAGAAGCCTACTTGGTCAGCAACTTTGTTGAATGGCATAAGTCCAAAGTAACATTCACATAACAGGATGGATGGATGGATGGATGGATGGATGGATGGATGGATGGATGGATGGATGGATGGATGGATGGATGGATGGATGGATGGATGGATGGATGGATGGATGGATGGATGGACAGACATTGCTGAAAGCATCACATTGCTAGCTTGCCTCCTTCCTGGTAGCATTTAATGCATTTTCATTTGATGTAAAAGGAACCATAACTCAGCCACTTTTATTCATATGGTGCCAAATCACCACAAATATCATCTTTAGACACTTTGAACACAGAGGCCAATTCAAGCCAATAAGTCATTGTCATACAATCATGAGCTATTCAACTCCAATACACTCAATTTAAATAAATCCAATTCATACAGAGGAAATCAAAAATGTTTCCCAGCTAAGGAAACCAAGAGACCGCACTCTAAATGTTTGAAATAGAATTGATGTCATAAGATTATTTTCCTTGGTATTAGTGCTAGGATAGCCTGACCTGTAACTAGACAGACAGAACATCCTGTTCTATTGAAAATTTGAAGAAAGCTACTTTCGAGCTTTTTTCTTGTAATTCTCGTCACGCCGCTGTTGGAGAGGTGCCATCTTTTAATGTCCATATGCATTATCAGGCAGCATTGACTGTACCGTGGTGGTACACAGTGTTACCTCACCACAGCATGGCTCCCGCTTCAAATCTCAGCAGGGGTCTTTCTTTACAGAGTTTGGATGTTTTTGTACATGCAGGATTTTCACATTCTCACGTTTCAATATTTTTTGTTACCATCGTTTTTTCACATGGACATTTCTTCTGTGTTTTCATCAAAATATTTCCATGTTTGAATTTATTTGTGGCAACAGGAAAGAAACAGCCTGTTTTTTTTCTTTTTTTTGTAGATGTCAGGAATTTAGAAATAGACCTTTTCCTCAATGTCCCACTTTTAAACCATTTTTTTCTACTTATTTCACATTTGTTTCAGTTTACTGTTTTTTTTTCAGGTTAGGGAATTAAATCACATGTTTAATTCATAACAAACATTAAATTGAATCAAAATACTTCGAGGTTTCACTAAAATTAAGAAATCACTGAGTATTTTGATCAAATCCATTTCCTGGAAGGACCTTGCTCTCCCTCTCTGACAGCTGGCAGTTCCAAGAAAACAAATGTTTTTGTCTGGTTCAGATTACAGATTGTTCTGGAGAAAAGTAGGCTGATGCACATTTTGTAAGAGGTATTGTTTGTGTTTTATCAGTCCAATCAGGATTTGTTCATCTGAACTTTGATTATTTTATGGAAATAATGAGCATAATAGATACAACAGTTTTTTTTTCTCTTAGAATTACCATCTGATGTTATTTCTAAAGCAAGGTCTAAGATCACCAATTGTGAAGCTGTGTCCTGCAGCTCTTCCAGTTATATAGAGTCACAGCTATGAGTATTTATAGTTGAAAACAGAAAACATTAATCTGAAATGGCATTAAAAACTTTGTTTTATGTTTCAAGAAAACATATTTTCTCTGCTAAGACCGTGTGGAATTTTAAAGCCTCTGTTGGTGTCCCTTCTCACTTTGTTGCTTTCAAAGTTATCATAAAGCTTAAACGTTAACAGACCAGTGAAGGATTTGTTTGTCTGTAGATGCAAACAGTCGAGCGTGCACATCTCGGGAGCTGCTGACTTTACTGGGAATCGTAGTCATTATTAAACTGATCGTCACCTCTGCTCTTTTAGGTAAGACACAAAAAGTTGTTCTATCTGCTGTCAAAGAAATCCCTATTTTGCCACAGTAATATAACTAATGGCATTATATAGCCATAATAAGTTTTGGAGTCATACATTTTGCAGCTATGATGATATGATGATGAAATGTGCAAACTCTTTTGGTGCTGTGAAGCACTTCATGTCTAACTACCAGCATGTACTGATTAAATGAAGGTTGGATGGTTACACATTTGAGGGCATGTAAATGAAACTATAACTGCAGTGTAAGAATTTGAATTCGAACCCTATCATTTAATCTAGCCATGCTACTTTCTGTTGCCCCTCAGGGAATATGAATATCAAATGGCAGGTTCTGCGTTTGGATTTAATTCAGATTGAATGGAAAGTAAATTGCTTTTTCACAGTGTGCCAGTAACTATGTCCTCTATGTAGTCTGTTTTCTTCAAATTTGATTGATATTCTTTTCTCTTTCCTATTCTACTGTTTATGTTATTCATTGTGGTTTTTTGTTTTTTTGTTTTTTGTCTCTTCATATTAGTCAAGTTCCTGGTATTCCCTTCTGAGTTAGGTGAAACCTCATCTCTGTGTGATGTGGAAGGGAGCTGCAGTGTTCCGAGTCAGCGGCCTTTTCTTTCTAAGAATCCTGTGAATCAAACGGGAAACATCACCGTGGGTAATGAATTTCAAAGTCACTCAATGATTAATGGAGGCTGAGCTTCTAAAACTGTAGTGTTCATTCAGGGTCTCTGCTTATCTCTTTGCCTATAATTACATTTCCATCAGGTGTTAGAATAATAGAGCTCGGAGTGCCGCTGTTATGCCGAAATATTACCAGAGTCATTCATCATGTGTTGTGCCGTGAGGTCAACCACTTTGGGGACATGTCCTTTTTTTGATTGCTTGTTTATGTGAGTCTGTATTTTTTAAGTTTTGGTTCTTGCATGCCTCCTTTCTCAATTGCCACCCTAAATCCAGATTGCCCAGTTGTTCTCAGTGATGGCCGCCGCATTGTTGGAGGGACCATAGCAGAACACAAGAGGTGGGGCTGGCAAGTCAGCATGCACTGGAGGGGGAAACATGTCTGCGGCGGTGCCATCATCTCCCCTCGCTGGGTCATAACGGCAGCACACTGCTTCATTGAGTAAGAGGTGGAAAAACGGAATAAGAAGCAAACGGCTCTTGTTAGTGTTTCCATAAATAAATGTCTTATTATCCTCAGATACAGAGTTTGATCCAACAAAAACTCTAAAAATAAAGTGAAGCAGTACTGTTTAGTACATTTCTAAAACCACATCTTGAGCGTGACAGATGGCACTCTGTCTTCAGGGGCTCTCTGCTCCCCTTTAATGGTTAATTAGGATTCTAAACACTTGCCACAGACATTCTGAGCCCATTTGCAAATGAGAAGCTGCTGATTCAATCACTTACACAACTAAAATAAACCTAAAACATTGTCATTCGGAAAATGAGTACAGTATAAGAATCTGTGGAGCACGTTTTCTGCCGTGCTCATCACAAATTATAAACGATTGAACAACTAAAATCTTAGAATCTTTCTTTGATGCTAAAATCTCACTTTACCTGAGAATTAATATGGTTAAAGAATAACTTTACAGGAGGTGTAAAACCTGCAGACTAGAATGAAAACATCTTTAAATCTTTACGTTTGACGGGTACCCTGACAAGACATATGTATGTATATTAGAGAGACATATTGTCAGAGTAAGGTCGCATTATATTTGAGACAATTTCAGTACATTGATGTCTTACCACAATGTGTATGCACTTATCTGGATAGCAGCCATTAAAACCAAAACCCAGAGCAAGTAAAAGCATCACAGCAGGGGACTTGCCACTTGATGTAGTGTGCTCTGCTGCCAGAACATAGATAAAACGACCATTTTATGTCACATTTCTCCAGAAACAACATGCTTGAAGTGGCCGACTGGCTGGTGGTGGTGGGCACAGTGAGCATTGCACACAACTCCCCGGGGAAACGCTACAGAGCCCTGCAGGTCCTCCACCACCCGGACTTTAACAACCGCAACAACGACTATGATGTGGGGCTGCTGCGCACCATCACTGACATGGACATGACAGGTACCAGAGAGATGGCCCCATCTGGTGGGGGAGCTGAGAAAAGCAAAGGGTGTATGTTGTTAAAACTGAACAAATAGCATGATTTATAAATAGCTATAAGAAGACAGGTTTCCATTCACAAATGTTAATGATTTTTTTTCTTTTTCAAATCAAATACAACAATAATACAAATATGGTGGCAGAAAACTTAGATAAATGCTTGTTTCTTATTTTATACATATACATTTTTTCTTTCTTGAAACTGAGAAATCAGGCCACAAATATCAGATAAATTAAACATTTGAACTCATATATTTTATTAGTTTCAAGCACTGAAGCTTCAAGGCTTCCAGCTTCAACAAAGCAGGCAAATTATAAGAGATGAAAAATCTGAAAACACTTTGTTTTACAATATTAATAAGCGCAGAGAAAAGAGATAACAAAATGAGCGTGCATAACATTCACTTCGTGTTAATCTTTATGACTTTCCTCTATGCGTGTATGTACAAGATTATAGTTCAGGGTATTTGTTTTGCTTTTTTTATAGATGGAGTGCGACCGGTTTGTTTACCAAAACCAAATGATTCCTTTCCTCCTGGAGCAGCCTGTTGGATTACAGGCTGGGGATTCACCCGTGAAGGAGGTTCATTATGCAGACTTCTGATATCCCACAATGACAACCTTTAAGAAATGTGCATAAACATGAGCAGCTAAAGCAATAACAGTAAAAAAAAAAAATCTGATTTCCTCACTACAAATAAGTTATTTGGATAAATTAAACCATAGTGCCTATATTTATATATTGTGGATTACACTACGTAAAAGGACAATTTCCTCTTTGTAATAACTCGATCCGTATCTAAAACCCAGGAGCAGCTACAGTTTGCTTCCTTTTATCTTCTTACAATAAACTGAAATGAATTTTTTCTCACGTTTTTAATAATCCTTTAATTACTGCTTTTGTTTATCTTTTTTCCAGGCTTTGTGTCAGATGAGCTGCGGCAGGCTCAGGTGAAGGTAATAGCTCAATCCCTCTGCTCTAGTATGGGGGTCTATGGAGCCTTCATAACTCCTCGGATGATCTGTGCTGGCAGCATATCTGGGGAAGTGGACTCCTGCCAGGTATACTGACACAAATGTGTCCCATGAACCTAACAAGTGAATAATTATCATCTTTAAACTTGATCCTCCGGAAATTCGTGTGGCACTTGCCGTTAATTATTCATACATCCCATTCTATTACTGGTTGTTTTTAAGGGAGACAGTGGTGGACCTCTGGTGTGTGAGACGCTTAATGGGGACTGGAGGCTGGCGGGGGTGGTGAGTTGGGGGGAGGGCTGTGCACGCCCCAACAAACCAGGCGTCTACAGTCGAGTAACTCATCTTCTCAATTGGGTTGAAGGATACACAGAGGTACCATTAAAAACATTCAGTACTTGTCATATAATTCTGAATAGCAATTTGTCTTTACGAGCCTATTGCTGATAACTTCAGTTTATTAAAGTCTACTGCTCAGGATTCCAGCATGTGTAATACTGTATTCTGTTTCTATAAAGAATCCCCAAGGACAGATAAAAACCTACACAAGCTTGTAGACTTTTTACAATTTGAAAAAAAAAATTTCATTAACTTTTTCAGCGTCATGATTATGTGGGGTCATGAAATAAACAGTTGGAATGTTATCATGAAGCCACTCTACATTCAGATGTGATGGATTTAGTTTGTGTCATTTTCTACAGTTTGACACAGCTACTATCCATGTTAGTTTTTGCTTACTTGTTTTGAATTTTTGCCACAGGTCAAATCGGGGCAGATGAAAGAGACCCTCACAGACACCTCACCAGCTGCTGACTCCATCCTGAAATAATTGAAAATAGATAATGGCAGTATCTGTTTTCACTATGTTGCTGTGTTACCACAGAGCAAACCACTGTAATGCAGATAAATCAGATGATATTACTTTATAATAGACTTATTGGTACTGTAAAGAAACTGTTGCAGATACAACTGAAATAATAAAATTATTTCATGAACATTAACATCAACAGTATAACGTTTTTTGTCAAATAAATTGAAATCCAGGAAAAAAAAAAACTAAGTTAAGAGGATATGCTAACTATTGTTAAAGGCAACAATCTTACATACAGGTGGTGTCTTCATTGTCAGCTCTAAATATTGGGGTTTTATTTTCAGTGTAGTTGTGTCAGTTGGCATTGAAAGCACAAACAAACAGGCGATAAATCAGATATTCTTTCATTTTATAGTTAGACGTCTTAGTGGTACTTGTGTGGGTGACGTCAGCTGTTGCGTAGACAGTTGTGTCTGCATGCCTCGTGACCGCGCGCGGCACACGCGCGCGTCCGCGGTCAGTTTTTTTACCCATTTTAAGGACAGGGGAGTCGAGTAAATAATGTAGCCGAACCCAAACTTTGTTGTTCAATGACCGTAATTACGGGTCAAAGGCACAGATATAAAAGTGACTGGGGCGGTTTAGCTTCCAACCCATAGTCAGTGCTGCATTATCTCGTGAGAAATTCGGTCTAATCTGCAGTAATCTGCAGGTAACAAGTGCATACCATTACGACACGCAGCCTCTGAGGCGTCGTTGCGGCAGCCATAGGCATTCCTTGCCAGCATGTGCTCGGTAATAAGCAGAATAAAACCCGTCCGGCGGCTCGTGGCTCTAGAGCGAAGCCTCAGTTCAAAAACAGAAGGCTGGAGTTACGCAGCAACCCAGAACAGGCTTCTCTGCCCCGGCGTGAATTCTTTAGTTGAGACGCTACGCGTTAACGGAAGGTCGTACAGTACCACCATGGCGATGACCCCAGGACTTCTCTTCAGACAGGTATGTCCACAGTATTTTTTAGCCTTATTGTGCTTTAAAGGTGACTATATTAAAGCTACTACGCCCAGGAATGTTTTGTGTATTCGCTCAGAGTCGTTTGCTTTAGCAGGAAGTGGCGGAATTAGCAGTTAGCTTATGATACAATGTCTCATAAAGCGACGAAGCGGTTTTGTTAAAATAACTTCACTTACAAAGTTACTATTTGGGTCTTCGCAAAGCGTAAAGCTAATAACAACCAGTATTTTGAATGTTTTGTCGAAACATTTGAGACTTGACGATGGATAGTTGTGTCTCCATCTTTCTGACATCGGCGGAAGCATGATGACATATGTTTTGTTCGACAATAAGAACACATTTTTTTAATATACTTTTCACAGTCCGTTTGTATTAATGTACATTAATATTGTAAGTAAGCAAACTAGGCCTGTGTTGCGTTAAACAGCTCCACCACAACTCGGTATTATCAGGAGTTACAAGAGTTTCCTTTTTTAAAATATTGCTCTATAGATAGATAGTTCAACAAAATAGTGCTAATTTTGGAAACGACTATTCTGCTCTCTTAACAGGTAGCTCTGTGTCCTAGTCTGTTGTGTCTTTTTTTCTGTCACCATGTTCAAACATGAGTTATCAAAGGATGATCGGGACGTGGAGGACGTGACCCATCTGCCTGTTATGAAGTGTTGGTGTTTATTGCAGAGTCATTCCTCGCTCACTTGTATATCCTGTTTAGCTTTTTGAGAAGGAGAGCTCCACTTACACCTACCTGCTCGCAGACAAAGACACCAAGGAAGCGGTCATCATTGACCCTGTTCTGGAGACCATTGACAGGGACCTGAAGCTCGTTCAGGAACTGGGACTCAAACTTATAGTGGCAGGTACCTACAAAAAGTCCCTACAAATTCTGAGGATGTTCGAACGTAAAGATGGCAACTAAATCAGGGCATGAATAGATTTTTTTGTGACTTGAAAATGTCTTCTCTTGATGACTTAAAGGCCAAATAATAAGTGCATGTGAAACATTTAAACTGATGTAGGCTGCGGTAATCTTTGTGCCATAATTCCCCATAAAAAGATTAAAAACTTTATACATTTACAGTGCATACCATAAAACCTTATAAGTATGCTGTTACTATGTGGTCCCTGTCAAACCCAAATATAAGGGGGACAAAATAAATTCCTGCTTCGTTCTTATTCATACCAGTTTTCCTTCTCTTGACAGTGAACACTCATTGCCATGCCGACCACATTACCAGCACTGGGCTGATGAAGAAAAGACTGCCCGGACTGAAGAGTGCCATATCCAAATTCAGTGGTGCCTCTGCTGACATCCACCTGTTGGAGGGAGATAAAATCGCCTTTGGAAGACATGTGAGAAGATTTAAACCGTTTAGTCTTGGGACTGATTTGGTTTATGAACAGATTCATGAGTTTGTGTCATGCTTGAGGTTGTCTTTGTCTAAAACATTTAGATTGATGCTGTATGTCTAAATGATCATGTTATGAAGCTACAGTCGTTTTTGTATTGTTTTTCTGTAGTGTCTGGTTGTGAGAGAAACCCCAGGACACACTGACGGGTGCACAACACTGGTGTCAGGGGATGAGAGCATGGCTTTCACTGGGGATGCTCTGCTCATTAGAGGCTGTGGCAGGACAGACTTCCAGCAGGGTGTGACAAACATTTCTCTTCTGTCCTTTTTATTCTGGAATTTTCGTTTCTGAGAATTGTGGAAATGAAAACCTCTTATTTGTGTAATGTTGTATAGTGAACACAAGGGGTCACTGTTGTTTTAGAGACCTCGTGGCAATGTTTTATCACATTGGGCTTTTGTTTTTCACTCTCAGTTCAAATTTCTGACTAGCATGTGTTTTAACTTTGTTCTTAATTTTCCTCCAGTTATTTAGGAGTTCTTTTATATTTTTTTCATTAATGCCTCTCCTTTTCAGGTTGTGCCACGAGGCTCTACGATTCAGTCCATCAGAAGATCTTCACACTACCTGAGGAGTGCCTTATCTACCCTGCACATGACTATTTAGGTTGGCTGAAAACCCACAACTGCTCAATCATATTTAATCTTCAGTAGCTGCATTGTCAAATTTAGGCTATTGCATCTGCTTTAGATGTTAGACATATTGTTTAGAGTGATTTGTATAGATAGAACCTGTATTGATTTGCTGTGTTCACTTCATGGAATTTCTCTGTATGCTTTAATTGATCAGCTAAATTCTAGGAAAAAATCCAATCCAAAGTCAAATTTCAAATTTGTGTATCAGGTCAGATGGTTTCTACGGTTGGTGAGGAGCGCAAGCTTAACCCTCGATTGACAAAGAGCAAAGAGGAGTTTGTGGATATCATGAACAACCTCAATCTCCCGAAACCGGCAAAAATAGGTATGTAAGACACCAGTTTTACCATCCAAACACTAACACAAAAAGAATTTTACATGAAAAGGTTCAAAGTTATGATACTTTATAGATTTACAAAAACGTGTTCTCTTTCTTTGCAGATGTTTCAGTGCCTGCTAATCTGGTTTGTGGGCTACATGGAGTTTGACTGCAGTTTGAAAGAGGGCTTTCTTTGTAAAGTCAACTACTTAAAGGCAAAATCATTCACTTAAACATGCCTGTTTAAGCAAGATTAACAAAAATTGCTTTCCATAAAGTGCTTTAATGTGTTTTATAAAGGTAAATGTGAATATCTGATGAGCTGTTTTCATTTGATGTGCATCTACTAAAAACAAAATCAAATCATGTTTTTTTGATTAAAAAGAAATAGTAATACGAATTCTGTATCCTAGAAAAACACTAGATATATTTATATATTTGTGTTGTTAAATTACAAGTGAATAACCACCTCTCTGATTGCATTATTATAAAATGGAAGATTCAGGGTGGCTTTTATAAGAGGAGAAACTGTAGTAGGGAAGCTTTATTTAAGGGTTTGGTTTAGGATACACGACCACTTCAGTGGGACAGCTGACTGCTTCCACATGGCCTCTTCAGGGATTCTGGTTCTCTGTCTAGCCAAGGACACACACAGACACAACAACCACCCAGAGTCATACCTGCCACGGCCTTTTGCATAGCAGGAAAATATGTCTAATTTGCATTTAAAATCAATACAAACAAATCTCCATTGCAGTAACTGACAACATAACACAATGATGTTTTAACTAGTTCTACATGGCTGTCATTTATATTGCTGGATATGAAAAAGGCCTGTGCTGAGTAGCACACCTGCTTCTAGATTTCTTAATGTTCTGAATGTGCTGCTGTCATCTTATAGGTAGAACAGGTTTTTTTGGGGGGTGTGGAGTCAGACTCAGCCAAATGAATACAAACCTGACATTGTAAGCTGGTTTGGGGGCCACTATCAAAATAAATCTGTTTAACAAGTAAAACAAGCTCGTTTCTTCTGCTGTGATTTTTAGAGGAGCGTTCCGCTGGTGGTGCAGCTCACTACATGAAGATAAAGGTATAACAACGTCTGCTGCCATGGAGGAACCATTCATGGTCTGAGAAAAATGTTGTGGCATTTTTTACATTTTAAAACTTGGTATCAAAACAGTAATGGAGGAGATGAAGTCAGATTCCTTCTGAGAAAGGTCAAAGGTCAAAGGTCTCAGAACTGTATCTGCTGCTATAAAGCTTTCCAGTCCTCCTCAGCTCTCACAACATGCGCGACACTGTTCACATTAAAACCTGAATGCTTTTAGTTCGAGACACTGAAGGAAAAAAAAAATGAAGATATGGTTTAGAGAGTACAGTATCTGTCGGTGGGTGTTTCCTGTTCTCATGCAAACCGATACCTTTAGCCCACACACCACCCACCAGCTGCCTCTGTCAGAGTTTTAGACCAGCGCCATTGTTTGACAGCCGCACCGTCCCACCTAATGTACTTAAAGGCAGACACCTGCATTGTTTTTTCCCCGAAAAAGGAGGCGTTTACTGTGTCTGTTTTGGCCTCAAGCTAAAGATATGTTGCTTTTTTGCATAAAATGGACCATTTTCTTGATCCCGTTAACTGTCGGGGGGGATTCCGTGTGCCAGCTGTCCTCTCACCCATCCGGTGTCACCCATCTGCCAGGCCTCTTTCAATCTGTCTCAGCCCGCTTTTTCTGTGCCACTGGGAACCTGCCGCACACTCTCTCTCACGTCAGCCACATGTCAGTGGAAAGAATCTATTACACTATCAGCTCTTTCAGAGGGAGCTATAAAGAGGCCAGTCAGGGCGTAAAAGTCCTCAGAGTGAGGAGTGCAGATTTTGCTTTCTGACACCCGGAAACAAAAGGCAGCGTCTTGTCTTGAAGTAAATCTGCATCAGTTCAGGTTTTTTAGTTATATCTTTTGTGCCCTGCTTGGACTCTGTTGTTAAAAGGGGGCACATGTTGTTTATGTCTCAGTCACGAGTGGTACTTAATGGTAAATTTACTGTGATGATTTAATACTTTGTGGTATTTTAATCTCGACTCAATATAAGTAACTCAGAAATTTTCTTACATAACTTTATTGTTTATATGTACATAATCTTAAAGTTTGAAAGTTTTTCTGCCCTACTGGTCACGACCACAGCCTGAATATTTACACGAAGTGGTAACACCCTTAAACGCTCCATGGTTACAGGCTCTGAACGTCCGAAGAAGACAGCTTGCCACAAGTTTGTGACTTTTTGATTATGTTTTGTTGATATTCTGTTGAATTTATTCAAATTTAAACCATAATCCATCCATTTTCAGAGCTCCGAATCACAACAAATGTCAACTCTCAGCACTTCGAAAGTAAAATCCAATTAATTGGTACGGCTAATTCACAGGAAGCCACCAATGGCAACTATAATGTCACATGTTGGATGAAGACAAAGAAAGCAGAGAGAGGAAAGGCGAATTATGGGAAGTCTCTCAGTAGTCCAGGCCTATCAGCATAATTGCGGGATATTTCAGGGTCACCGAACCACGTCTGTATCAGCTTTGTCAAAAATCCTAAAAGTTTTGTGTTGAATCTTGAAGATACATTTTTATATATAACATTTCAATTCATTAGATGTGTGCCAATGTTTGTTCGCTTGTGTATTTGTATTCTTTTCCGGTAACATGGCAGACATGCTGACATGCTTATTCACAGTTGGCTGCTCAGTCTCCACATGTGCTCAGCTGGACTTTACACAGACTTTGCACCACCAAACCCACAGGGTAAAGTAAGCACAATTTCTGGTTTGGCTGATCCAGATACTCGGGTTTTCACATGGCTCCTCTGGGCAATGTCTAAAAAAAGAAAAGACCAGGGCCGCAGTGAATATATGAAAACATTCACGGAACACTTAATCAGTAACAGAAGTGAAATCAGACAAATCAGACTTTGCTGTTCAGGCACTGTCTTTTGAAAGCCTACGCGTTTCAGTAATGGAGAGAATGAGATATTAGAATCACCTAAAACTATAGTTTTCAACAGTCTAGTAACCACAAGCATCCAGTAGCTACAATCTAACTAATAAATACAAAGTATTACCGGATTCCCTGGACTTTTGGGTAAAACTGCATCAGTACTTGATGGTAAGCAGGGGGGGCCATTGAGTTTTTGCCCCTGGACCTCTCACATATTTTTCCAGCCAATGCAACTCAGAAGCGTTCTCTGGTGACTTTACAAGTTCACTGTCCTGTGTGTCACTTTAACACTGAAGAATTTCCACGAGGGGCTCTCTCTCTGGGGCAGAGCGGCCTGAACCTGGGAGAGTAGCCTACTGGCAGCGTGCCCGGATGAGTCCTGCTCTTGTTCCAGGAATAGAAAGCCTCATTTCAGAGCAGTGATCCAGCAAAAAAAAAAAAACACTGCTCCGTGCGGTCTGTTTCTGATAGGTATATAGAAAACCGCCTGTGTGGAGTTGATCGGCTGCAGAACAGAGCTGGTGGTGGTGGTGGGGGGGGGGGACCTGACGCGTCACATGAGCCGCTCCCGCGGGTTTACGCGCCGGGGAGAGCCGCTCCGTGCCCGCCTCCGTCCGGGTCCTCCTCCGCGTGATTCCAGCTCGATCTCACCTGTTGGTGCCGACCTGTCAGAGAGAAAAAACAGTCCAGAGGAACACAGTAGACCGGTAGAGCAGCCGGATCCACGACAGGCAGCTGAGGCGGAGGCGCGTATTTGCGCGCCCGGAGCGGCGAAAGCAAAACGGCGCTCAAAGTTCGTTGAGGTGTCGCTGCTTTTTTTTTTACCCGGCTTCGCCTCTCTGTCATGAGCACAGGGGCCCACACCTCCCGCCGAGCGAGTTGGATCACGTCTTCCAGGTAAGAAGTAGGTCTGTTTGCTGTCAAATCTGCGTCTTTTCCCCCCCTCCTCATTTGTCACAAATCCCACAGACTATAAGGCGTCCCGGTTTTAGCAGCTGCTTTTGAAAGCGTGGAGTGAACAACAGAGGGAAAAAGTTGACAACAATCTGTTGTTGCTGACTTTAGAAGGAGGAAGAAGTGCGATCTCAGATAGAATCTGATCTTCTATCTCTTAAATTTGCCACCAAACGGTTTTGACATAGGTACAGCTTACAGATGATGGATGTTTTTTGCTTAAGGAACTGATTGTTTTAGAAATTAACTGTGATAACAAAGTTCCACTAAGTTATGAAATGTTACTTTACGTGTTTTCATCCCACTTTAAAATCGGATGGGAAATAAACATCTCAATATTTTATGGCCAACAATCATGGGGATTTCTGTTTGTCATCCCACAACAATAACTTAAGTACACAAAATACCCCCCACCCCCCATGTTTACAAAGACCTCGGTATATCACTTCTTTTATCCCTCCATCAGCACTTGGTGGGTACACAGAGTGGGTGGGAGAGCAGCAGCAGAGGTAGGATTGCTAGAGATTTTCTGTCTGGGCACTTCTGCCCTCAGCTTTTCCATTTCTCACACACATGCAGAGTGATGGTCACTGGACAAATCTGTGTCTGAGCCCTCGGTTCTACGCTGTCATTAGTGGATCACTCCTTCTTGCATCACAGTTCCAAGATATACACTCAGGGAACAGGAATCTTTATTACAGCTAACACCCTTCGCTGGGTCGGGAATTGATAAGTGATTTTCACACATCGCGTCCTAATTCCTTGCCACATCCATGCTTCATTCGTCATAAGTCTTTCTTGTTTAAGCTTGCAGATGGATGCTTTTACAGCTCAGTTACAAAGAACATCAGCACCTCTGACACCCGCCTGTTACTTTTAAAGTATTCATGAAGAGTTCAAACTCTGCACTTGCAGGAAAGCACAAACTTAGTTGCATTTCTAAATTATTCATAACTGTCCAAGTAAAACACCGGACCCTGATCACCCCAAAACAAACAAAAACAAAACAGAAATCTGGCAGAAGTCATTTTGCCTAATCTGTTGTTTCCAGATCAAAGTATCTATTGTTGAGGGCTCACCTGCGAGAATAGCTGAGCTCTATTAAACTCAATACTTCACTCATTCAAGTCCTCAAATAATGTGTGCATGTTATTATGAATGGCAATTAGAAAGAGAGGAAAGTTGCTAATGTCATTGGAGACTGTTGCTAACTAGCATGTGGTAAAGCTGTTTGCACACTGTCTTGCATGTATACTATTCCAATATAACACAGAAAACTGAGGAAGAACCGTTATAGTCCACACAGACTGTGGGATAAAGTTTAATGCCATTAATTTCCTGTCTCGGCAGTGTGGTGTCGTCTGTAGGAATCAGTATTTACTGGGAATAACTCGGCTTCTGTGAACGTGTAGAACACATTTCCTGCTTGAAATAGGAAACTGTCATCAGGAAAAGACTTGTCATTGTTTATTCTGTCACACTGATGCAAAAAGACACTTATTTATTCTAGTTATGGAAGCAGCAACAACTGATGCATCAGCTTTTTTAACCTTCTTTTAGCGGAATGTTTAAGCAGCTCCTCACTGGAATTGTTTTAAGTGGTGAAGATTTGTTCAAAATGAGGGATAGGACTCAATATATGCCATTTTCCCAGTGAATTGTTTCACAGATCAGATAAACACAGATCCGAGTTATTATTACTATTTTTGTCGTTCTATTTTTATTATTTCAGTGTGAGCCTGAATATTGTTCTTCCTTTTGTACAAGTGTTTTTAAAGTATTTGTGTGCTCTTTTCTTGCACCTGCACATGTTGCAGAGTGTTATATTTATATCTTTAAGTTGAGAGGGAAATACTGGTGACAGGTGAAGACAATGATTTGCACCCTTTTGTAGGACACATATTTATTTCGGTTCACTCAGAACTACTAATAGAGCGAAGAGTTTCCCCTACTTTTAGGGAATCTAACAGAGCTACTGAATTTTTATTCAAGTGAAGTGTTTTTGCAGAACTTGGGCCTCAGCAGTTTTTAACTTTAGGGAACATCATCATTGGTTTTTAAATGGAGAGCTCATAACAACCTTTTAAAACCTTGGCATTGTGTACCGACACATAATTGGAACATTTCAAGCAGCGTTTGCATGCTGAGAAACCAGTATGTCTGCCTTTGCCATTCTGCTTTTCTCCTTAACTGTAAGTCATCCTCCGAAGAAGTGGTATTTGATTGAGTGACATGTTTGCCAGAGCCCGACATTTCCGAGTGATGACTGAAGCTGCTGAAAGCTTCCATTGTTGTGTGTACTGACGTTTTCAAACCAGATCAATTTCCTCAGAAAAACACACTTTGGGTAAACACGCTTTTTTCATTTCTGTTATGTCGGGCTGACTTGTTTTCCCGTTCGATTGGAGCTGGTTTTCAGTACTCTTGTCAGACTATCAGTCGTTCTACATATGTATTGCCACCCAGGTGTCAGGCAGTATTTGTCCTGTCTTAACAGTCTCGGCGCAGCAGGATGACGGTCAGGTTTCTCTGTTGTCACCTGCTTTTCCTGTTCGGTGATGACAGCTTACTGCTCCTCTGAGCCCCACAGTCCACCCCGGGGCTGCCAGCTCTGTTTGAACACCAATCATTTGTAAAGCATTGGCTCATTTGTTTCCAGTGACACTGTAATATAAAAAAAAAACAACAAATGAAAACAATGCCTTCTAAAACTTTACACATATTGTACTGTAGACATCAAATCAACAACAGGTTGACTTCAAAAAGGTCAAAGTGCTTTCAGCTCAGTCCAGTCAAACTTCAAACCTCAACCTGAGTGAAGTGCTGAAGACAAATGTTGCCAATCGCAATTAACTCGAGCAACATTTTTAAGAGGAATGGGCCAGCCTTCCTCCACATCAGTGTGAGAGACTAGTGAAGTATGCAAAAGAGTATTACATCATGTGTTGGAGTTTGTTCTGCAAACTGCTGAAACGGTGAGTGAATTTAGTTTTTACACTCTCATGCAAGTGCCTGTTTTTATGGTATGATTACTTGGCATAGTAAATTGGTTATTCTTCCTCATTTGAGGTTACATTTCCCTCATTTTTCATAACCCGTAAGCCCAAGATACATTTGTTTCTGTTATGTCCAGATATGTATTTATTTGTGAGTATATATACAGTATATACTGTATATTAGAATTGAAAAGCTGGACTATATTGTTTTGCCTTGAGTACACCTGTGCTGTTTCTAAGTCAGCTACCTTTCAGTTTTCATTCTGACTTTAGTTTAGTTTACTGCTTTGTTTGCAGCAGAAGTCTTCACATTTATTCGAACTGTATCAAAACAATAACTCTTTATTTGGGAAACCATTTGTGCTTGTCCCACTCAGGCTTGGCTCAACGTATTTTTCTGTTAAGTGAATCGGATGGCTTGATTTGTAAGCCTCTGTGGATTAATGTGGCATTGTGCGCTACCTTACTTCTTTACAGGGCCGCCGCGCTCACATGTTCCACTTGTGACATGTTTTCCGACAGCTCCCTCACACTGAATGGATGGTGACAGGCTGTAATCAGTATTCACACCCACACACAGGGCATGCCATCGTCCCGGCTCTTTTGTCCTGGTGGGGTATGGCTGTTGTCAGTATTGACTTTATGGTTTTGTGTACACAATGCCATTTATCTGTGTGGGGTCCGGAAGGGGGAAAGGTCATTTTACAGTGTTATTGTGTGCTTTCGCTGCTGTCCAGGGGCTACAACAACACACAGCATTCTGTGGTCTACAACCCACAGAGGTGCAGGTGTATGCAAAAAAACATGAACACGGAGGGGTTGTTACGTATTCAATATTGTGTGATGTTATGCTTTGACTTTCTGAAGTTTTGGGGAGAAAATGCATTGATGACATGAGAAAACCTCTCTTTGTCTTTAGAGATAAAGTGGTCTGTGCCAACTTTGCTCATCAGGGGACCAAAGCTTGTTGTCGCTTGAACGTGTTTGTAGAAAAAAGTAATTTCACCACATCCGTTTGCCTGCTTCTTTATCTGTGCTTATTATTTGCTAAAAGCTTCATTAGCTTCTCCCAGCAAACCTGGATGACCTAGGCAGTCGGGTGACACAGATCCTTTGATGTGGGTCATTTGGTGGTGTGGTTTTCTGGGTCTGAAGGTTAACCTGGTGTTAAAAAAAACAGGACAGCAAACCAGAACGCTGGACAAGTATATTTTCTTCCTAATGTGTTCATTTTTTTTATTTTTTATTGTTGAAAGTCAAAGCTGTGATGCAAAATTGAATGTAATAATTCCACAATTCACGATTTGTGACTCTGCAGTTGTATAGGACCGCCACAGAACCTTATCACAGGCCTCCCAGCGGCAGACGACGTACGAAATGTTCCAGAAGAAATCCAATTAGTCTGAGTGAGTCGGCTCTCCCATGCCGTCGAACGCAGCAAAAACTGCCACGCAGTGAATACAAACGGAGATGTCTGAGTCTTCAGTGGAGTCTCACACTTTAAGGAGCAGTGATAAGATTTTGCTAACGTGAGCACATGATGAGATAAACGGACATCAGAGGTATTTTTGTCCTCCCTGGCTGTGCTCTCGTTGAACTCCCCCACAATGGTCTTACTGTGAGTCTCTGCTGTTGGGAATCTGTTGTTGGTATTTAGTTATTTATTTATTTGTTTATTTATTATTGTATATGAAGTGCTGAGGGTTAGGGTTTCTTAAGGGTTGCGTTACATCATGCACCCGCTGAGATGTGCACTTGATGCACAACTACTTCTCCATTCACTCTCTTTCTCCTATCTTGCTCTCCAGAGGCCCTCCCCACCCTGTAATCGAGTCCAATTATTTTGGGCACAAAACTGTGTTTTGTTCTTTGATCTGGCTGTGAGGCTGATCTTTGCCCTATTTTCTGTCTGCATCTGCTGATTTTTTTTTTTCCTTTAAAAAAGAAAAGCAAACATAAAAAACAAACCACTTTTTTTCTTACTATATAACAATTTCTCGTGTCATCCGTGCGTCACATAAGCTTTCGTTTTGTTTGTGATTTTCTGAATCTGAAGAATACTGTGGGTCCACATGAAGACATGTACTTTACTCCTAAATTCCTCTCTTTTGAATCAGTCATTATCAGACTGGACTTTAGTTGGAGGTCAACCACTTGCACTGATGTTTGGCTAAAGCTTTTTAGTTATCATGGAGCTCTCTTTGCTTTGTTTTCAATAGAAACCAATTGCTTCAAGTGTTGAGTATTTGAATACCAGTGGACAAAGTGAAAAATACCGGTAGAAGGCTGAGAGATTAAACGAGATATTGAGATGAGATTCTGATAGATAAACATAAATAACCCTCTAATAGTGAGATTTGCCCCATAGTGCTATCAACTATGACAATACAGCACCACATGTTGTGAGCGGTGATATGTGGTGAGTTTTGTGGTTGCTGAGCTGCACTCTTTCAAAGAGTCGTTCACACTTTCAAATACATGAAAAATGTACCAGTCAGATGGCAGCTTTCACTCTGTCTGCTATCTCCTTCATATCTGTCAAAATGATTTACACACATACACATAAGAAGGAAATGTACACATACACACAGCGGAAAAATTACCTTAGTGAAACACATTTATGCTTTGTAAGCAATGTTATTCTACTTTTTTTCATTGAGCTGGTCTGGAAAGTTGTAATATGGACGATCATTACAATAAACAAGACTTTCCACTTCCTGCTGTGCTCTGCTCCCTCTGTCCATAGATGCCTCCTCATCTCTTCCTCATCTCTCCCTTCTCTGTGAATGCCAGTGTGCCAGTCTGTGTTTGGAAGCCATCGCTAACATCTCAGCTGTATATTTATCTATGGCCTAATAAGGTATAGATGGAGGGACAAACTTAGAATGCAGAGGCCCTGGGAAAATGGTGGGAAAAATGTTTCAGCTAGGTTCATTCTAAGCATTTTCCCACAAACTGGTTTTGGTTTGTGCACACATGTAAGTTTGTACTGGCTCGCAAGCTTTTGTGTTTAAAGAAAGGGCACGTGATAGTGAAAAGGCAAGATGAAATAAAGACTTTGAGATAATAGGCCTGTAGGTGGATATACCTCCCATTGTTGAGAAGCACTTTGATATAGAACTTAAACACTATTTAATGATGTTTGCCTGGGTAAATTCCCATGAAAAAGTACAATACAGCAATAGTTCAAAGAGTACTCTGACCTGCCATCTTTTATATGTAGTCTGTGTGCTGTTGAACATGAAAGTTTCTGAAAGTGCTCCACGTCAAGCCTGCGTCCAGATAGACTCTGAAACGCAGCCACAAACCACCACCCACATCCTGAATTCTCTCTTGTCTCTCGCTGTCGGTTCCTCTTCAAAGTGAGGTGTTTTCTCCATCGCAGACTGATTTCTGGGAGCCAGAGGGGATTTCTGTGTTTTTAAGTTCTTACGTTGTATCACTCAGTAGTCATATCCCCCTCAGTGAACTGTCACCTGATCCTCAAACCCTCTGAGTGGAGATTAAATTACCACAATATTCTTTAAAGTCGGCCAGAAAACCCACACTTGGTCTTCATCTGATGCTCCTATTTAACCGCCTGCTCTGGTTTTAGCCTTTAGAAATGCCCCAGCGTAACATGGAAAACGCCAGGAGCCAGTGGCAGCGGGATGTCCGGCAGCCTTGGATCACCAGAGTGGCCGGGGGTCAGAGCCCCGCCTCCTCGGGGGCGGAGTCAGACACAGAGAGCAGCAGCACGGAGAGCGAGAAGGTAAATGTGCCCGGTGAAGCCGCTGGTGATGGTGATGTAGAAGTTTTTTCTTTTCACGTCAAACAATACGCGCTGTTGGTTTCATTTTGTTTAGGAACAATTGTAAACTTCAGCTTTGCTGAAACGGCTCCGTTTTCCTCATTTCCTCTCTTAATATCTGTCAGTCCTGCATCAAAAAGCTGGAGGTGGGCTCACTGAAGAGCCTGTCGTCGCCCTCAATGCTCCAGAATCGCATAGCGGATATCAAACAACAAGAAGAGGAGCTGAAGATTGAGGTGAGAACACTGATTGGTTGTTGTACACTTGAACAAAAAAGCATATTAGTATAACCTCGTGATTTAGGAACTGATTTAAGACCGTTTACCCAAAAAATGACACAGATTAGAACATTTTAGACACATAAATCTACAAATTCAACCAGCTATCAGCCTTTTTCAGAAGGAATAAAGTACCAAATATATTTACTGATTTAGCAAACAACATCCAAGACGACGTGTTTAAAGAAACACTGAAATAAATAAGTGTTTTTCTGGCCTCAGTCTGGCTGTTTAAGCTGCTGTCTGAGAACAGTCACAGTCACAGTGAAAGAATGCACACCTCTAACGTCCTCGGGATCTGCCTGGTATGATTCACCTCAGTCACGTCTTCTGTCCCCTCAGCTGCAGCTGGAGATCGCCCTGCTGCAGGGAGAGCTGCAGACCGACAAACAGCAGCTGCACAGACAGACGCAGAAGCTCCACGCTCTGCAGCAGCAGGCCAGGGAAAAAGAGCAGCAGAAGCAAGCAGACAGGCTCAAGGTAAAAAAAGTGCTCACCAAGCAATTCTGGTCATGTCATTTCATCTCAGGACATCTGTCCATTCCAGGTTGGAGACAATAAAATCTAATTTGTTCGTATTATTCTATTACCTAATTGTAGGGTTAAAAAAATCAGTCTAGAAAATGTGTCTTTTAGGATTCGGTGAAAGTATGTCAATGATAAGATTTTGGGGTGTTTTTCTCTGGGGTTTGACTACCAGACAGACTCCAGTGCTTTTGTTTTTTTTTCCTTTTCAAAAGAGATGTTGATTATTACACATTTGCTTCACGTTTTTTTTTTCACTTCTAATTGTAGGAGCGTAAGAGTCTGGAGGAGGAGAGGTCCAAGGTGGAGGAAATGAAGAAGCAGTGTGAGGAGAAAGAGAAACTGATCCCCACTCAGCCAGAGAGTCAAAGAGAACAGCTGACACTGCAGCTGCAGCAGGTAAGAAGAACCAACGTCAAAGCGGAACTCTTTAGATTGAGTGTTTCTACTTAAGTCAAGTTCATTCACATGGATAATTTCAATTCTTAAATTTCCTGTGCTCCCTTTTGTGTTGGGCAAAACATCCACAAAACCATCAGAGGTGAGTATTTTAATTAGATCTTTCACATTTATCTCTGCAGTGTGAATACCAACTTACAGGCTGTCTTCATGATAGTCCAGTTTAAGTTTCTGAAAGCGACAATGTGTGGAAAACTTTTCCACATTCAGCGTAAAAATGTCCATGTGGCTCCACCCATTCTCTGTAGAAATAGTGAGATAAACAGGCTGATCCGTGTTTGGCTGAAGCCAGTGACTAATCAAGTTTGTTTGGCTCTTTGATCCGCTTAAGAATTGGATTAGTATAACTGAAGTGAGATTATGGCATTCCCATCTCGTCATTGACTAAGTTGTAAATAGTGAAATTTAAAAGCGAGGGCACTGGTCTCACCCCAAAGAGAACATCAAGACCAAATGTTGCTGACAAGTATAAATCTTCTCTAATATTCTCTTACTACGCTGTAAACATGCAGAATGGACCTTATTCCTGCTGTGTGGTTGGATGCTTACCGTATATATGAATTGCAGTAGCATTGTTTAAGTTGTCTAGTTGTAATTTCTCAAAAACAACTCAGCCAAAGACAAATCGGAGCAAATTTCAAGGATTGGATACCCATAAATTTGACTAGATTTTGACTAAATGAAAACATTTAGAAAAATAAAATAAAATAATAAAGGCTTTTGCCAAATTGAATCCAGATTAAACAAATTGAATCCTCGCATGGAAAACAGGTCCTGTAGCATTTTATTCTTTTGTTTTCTTGTTAAATAATTCTATGAAGTCAGATGTTAAAGATACGCTGGCTGGTTTCCAAATAACACATGAAACTGCAACTGAAATGCAGTTCACAGTTTTGACACACAAACTGTATGTCTCACATAAAAGAGATGTTGGAGTCACTGCCTCCCGTTTTGTCTTGTAATGTGTGATCATTCACTACCTGTTTAACCTGAGCTGTCAATCTTTATTAGTTTTACACACCCAAAACATAACAAATGTCAAGCACTCTTTCCAAGTATGTAACAGAACGAGATTGAAGCTCTGTTTCACAAGTAGTTCATGACAGGTTAGATCCATTTTTTTTTTTTTATTGTTGAAACATGTCAGATTGGTTTAAACAGAGCTTTAAACAGAATAGGGTTTGGCGGCAGTTACCTAAAAGCATACAAATGGAGTAATTAAATGTTAACTGTTCTGTAGTAAGAGAGCGGGTATTTTAGAGTCTTAGTTTTTTATTTCATCAGAACTCTCTGAATAAGTTTAAAAAAACTACAACAGCAGATTCTTTAAAATCTGAAAATTGCAAATGGTGGCCTGACTTGTTTATCCAGAACGTCCAGAATGCATTGAGATCTGCAGAATGTGAAGGCAGAGTGAACTTCATAAACTTCCTAAAAGCTGTTCAAAGCTATCTTGGATCCCTTTTCACACTTTGCAGAGGTGCATCATACTGATAAAAGAGCCCTTTGCCTTCTGGTAGAAGTCTGTTTCTTTGAAAAAATGATTGCCGACATTAAATAATCCCTCGTTTTTACAGATGCTGTTCTCCTGTGGTACTTCACACACACACACACACACACACCGCAGGGATGGCTCATAGTCACATCATTGTGTGTTTACACGGAAAAATGGCATTGTGAAGAAGGGATGATTGATAACGGCCCTGCATGTAAGAGTGGCGGACTCTCCCTTACGCACATGGACCAGTTTGGCTCTGTAACGGCCTCCTATGCATGTCAGCTTTGTCTCAAACCCCACCCCCCATTCTACCCTCGTAACCACACAAAAGTCACCCAAGTACAATATGATTGTGAGAATATGCTGTTTGAAAAGAGCTGGTTGTGAGGTATTTAAAATGCCTTCTAAAACTCTACCTAAAGCATCATTCTGTCCCTTGAATGAACGAGAAAAGCTATCTTAGATATATAGACAGATAGGAGTTGGTTTCTTTCCTGACTGCGTGTTTTAATTGCAGGAGAAGGAGGCGATGGAAGCTGCAGCCCGGGCTTTCGAGGACTGGGAATTTCGCGTCCTGGAGCGGGAGAGCGGCCTCGACGAGGACGATGACAGCGAAAGCGCGGCGGAAAACAGAAACCATGGAAAGCTGGAGAAGGAAATCTCGTGCCAGCAGCACGTGGTGAAAACGGCGCAGGTATACAACCAGGCCCCGAGGATTTATAGCCGCTCAATGCCGTGTCGCGGGGTTTTCTGCTTATCAGAAAGTCATGTGCTCAGAATCTGTGTTTGCCCTCTCAGTGTAGGCTGGTGATGTCAGACCTGTGCAGAGAACATGCAGAGAACAACACCAGTTGTTATCTCAACGCTGCGGTTCCCTAAATAAGTGTTAACAACCGCTATATCTACACTTCCACCCTTTTCAATTTGACACACATTGTTTCGTTAAATTACTGAAAGAATATTCCTTAGTAGTGAACCAGAAAATCTGTCAAATTAGCCTAAAAAGGAAAATAGGTTTATAAAGACAGATCTCAACCGCTCAATCTCTAATTCAAGTTGTGGGTTTTTATCATCTATTTGAACCCGGGGAGGCTTTGGTTGAACTCTTTGAAACAGCCTTTGTAGCTCCTCTGGTCAGGTGCTGCCTAATCGGAGCTTAATGCGCACATGCATGCGGACACTTTCACAATGACAGTGTTAGAGTGCTTTCAGTGTAAAGCTAATTTACTCTCTTTCCGCTCAGTAGACTCAACAAACAAAGTGCCACACAGATCATTCACTTTGCCTTATCTCTTTTTTTTGGCCTTTTTCAAACAAGCTTTTTCAGGGTCTTTAGTTTCTAGTGTGCTTCTTCGGTTAATGGCCAAACAAAGCAAAGAGTTCGTTAAAGAGTTCATCCTGTCAACTGAGGATAATGTGGATTCATTTAGCATCTATGTGCAATGCCACCGACGACCAGTGGGTGCTGACCCCATGACAAGATGATGCTTCTTTTTTTCATTAGCTAAACTGACAACTTGGAATCACTCCACAAGTAGTCCCTCTGAAAATTCCTCATGGAAAAGATGCTCTGCCTGAAATACAGTGGTTTTCATCCAATCAGGCTTTGTATGTCAATCCAGGTCCAGCTTTTTATTACTGTTTTTCTCCTCTTTCAGTGGTTGGAAGGTTCATATGGATCTCTTTTTTTAGTTTAACATGGATGACACTTGGACAAACCCTGGTGTGTAATGGGCAAAACACGTCCATAAACACTAAAACAGAGTTAAAAAACAAATTTGCAGGAGAGTGTTTTCTCTTTTTTTTAACATTACAATAGATATCTGCTTTTCCGCTGCTGTGCAGGATTTCAGCCAGAAACAGAGACCATAATGTTGAATTGTTTCTCAATTAGGCCGAGTATGTAGAGAGAGGAGGACAGAAGATGGGGATTGTGTGAGAGGGATGAGGCTTGACTCAGCAACGCCGTGGCCTCGCTGTGGCTCATCTCTGTCTGTCTTTCACTCATTTCGTTGCTCGTTCAGATTCATCACCAGTCCAGCGCTTCATTTGCCCCGCAGCCATTTCCCTGATTTACAACACGAGCATCTGATTTGCATTGTGCCCCGGCTTTAAGTGGTGCGCTTTGCTCGGGGCCAGAGTGTTTACACATACCAACACAACACGGCGTCTCATCTGGGATATTTTCGCAACATTACGTCACGGCATCCTGAAAAGATTACGAGAAACTCATGTCAGCCAGATGAATCAGCGACATGGCCGAGCGTCTCTTCTGAGGAAAAGGAAGCCATGTGGCGGGCCGCACTGATGGAAATCATTGTCTGAATTCATAGGAGCGAGTCCAGCAGTTGGCGAAACAACTGAGTGAGATGGAGAAGGAGAAGGAGAGGGAGCTGACCACCTTAAGGAAGGAGAAGAGAGAGCTCATCCACAAGGCCCAAACGGTATGAGACATTTAGACTTTTGAGAGTTTGACAGTTTTGCTGATCCTCAATGGTTTAAAGGCTCGTATGTAGTATTGTTGGAACTCTAAAATGCAATAAGTTATCAAATTGTGATTATTTTGCCAAAGAAAAGTCAGCTGTCAGCTAAAAAATCTAAATAATATCTATGTGTCATCAGACCAGCGATAAGAGAGGTCAAATATCCATCAGCTCAGAGTTTGAGAGACAGTTCTCAAAAAGAAAATTCCCTCAAATTTTTAGTCGGGCCACCGTTGTTTTCAAGTAAAGCTGCGACTCCTAAAGTCAGCGGTGTGCTGTTATAAGCAACAAAAGCCTTTGTAGATGGTTCTGCTCTTTTGTTTGCTTTCACTAACACGTGGGATTGCACTTTACAGAAGCCACACTAAGTTTACCTTTACTACCACACTTGTATTGGGCTTAATTAGTTTCCACATGTCTGAAAATTAATTAGTTTTCTCTAAATGTGTATTTTTAACTTGGTATTTTCTTCATCTAACTGCATTTAACACAAACCGCCCCTCATAGGTACCAATACCTACCTCCATACCAATAAATTAAGGATTTTTATTGTATTTAATTTATTTTTTAATTAACATTCAACATAAATACACACTTGAGTGTGAGTGAACTATGAGACTCTGTGCCCCATTAAGATTGATGTTTCACGCTGGTTACATAAGTTTCTCTTGTGTAAAAAATAGTGAATGAGTGAACGGGAGCTGTCTTTGGCAGCTAATCATTTTCCAAATCCGGTGACACCTTTGGTACAAGAGATTGGTTTACAAGCTGGCTGCAAGAATAAATGATTGAATCTAATTGGCTTAGTCTGTGAATCAGCAATTCATACTATAAGTCTTCGGGAGATCAACTGCGACAGTTTTTCGTAGGTTCAGTTGTGGGCTGCTCTTCGTCTGGTTCTTTGGGCCAGTTTAGCAGGAATGACATTGGTGTGGGTATTTGGAAAATATCTCAGCTCACAGGATCATCCAAACACGACATACGATGAAGATGATGAAAAGGGGACAGATAGTGTAGTGTGGCCTGATCTATATGCCACCTTTCTTACCCACAATACACTGTAGAGATGATACAGTATGTTCTCTTTGACCCGGAAATGCCTCAGTACTTTGTAGGCGTATAAGTGGCTTAAGTAATCCATTTCTGAGTGGCTGCAGATAATGAGTCCTTTTTTTATTTCTATTGCTACAAATTAGACCTATGGGTGATATACTTTGAATTCTTCCCTTTTTCTGAGCTTTATCCATTTCCCGTTTTCATTTAAACTTCATTACATAACAAAAGATTGCCTTTTATCTAAGTCTTTACTGAATATCCGGGGCTTTATAAAACCTCCAATAACTGTAACATGGTTTCAGGTTTTTCAACAGCCGCCTGTTGCGAATTCTTGCCAATCCAAGCTATGAAATCCACTCGGTATCTAATTTAACCGAGCTATGACCTTATCCCGCCGGCATTCGTTTGCTCCCTCAGCAGACACTTTACTGCACCAGCAAAGATGAGCAGGAGACGGGGTCTGGGAGAGGAAAAAACAAATCAGATATGCAGAGAAAACGGAGGGAGAGTGTGTAACAGAGCGCAGCCCAAGCCGGAGGGAGGGAACGGGCACAGGGAGGAGTAAGCAGTGAGAGGGAGGGCGCCCAGCTTGCGAATCTGTGTGTTGAAGTGAGCGCGTGCGGATGTGTGAGAGGGAGAGAAGGCACTCTGGGAGAAGTTTCACATCCCCGGTAAGCTGAAAGGCGACAAATGAGCGGAATGACTTGGGGGTAGCTAAACTGGATGTGTAGCTTCTTGTGCTTTACATCTGACAGGTTTGTCATACATTTTGTTTGTGTTTGGAAGGCAAATACTTGTAATTTAGCAGAAAAAATGTTGAAAGTGTTGTGAGAGTCAATATAGGAGGCATTACTAGACTGTCTACGAATTTGGGAAAACACTTTCTGCAAGTCATCCACTGCTGTTGGGGAAAAAAGACTTTCCCTGTTAGCATGTGATAGCGTGGAGTAAGAGAGTAAGAGACCAACAGGGGTTAACGCTGGTCTGCATGTGGTGACTTTATTGCTCATGTGTTTGTGAGTCAAGCAGAGAGGGAGGGTTCCGAGAAAAGATAGTGTGGCTGTGATAATTCTTTTAACTCATTACAACCTGTCTTAGAAATGTGGACAGGATTTCATTCTCAGCCAGATGTGGTATGTCTAACATTGCATGATTGCGGGGTCCGTGTTTGCCACACAACTACAGCTAGTTAACTTTAATATTTACTCCCCGTAGCTCTACAGAGATCCATTAGTATAAATCATAACTGAATCTGGTCCCACAGGTTGTCAAAGAGAAGAAGCCGTTTACTGATTGGTCGAACATCACCAGCTCAGCTCCCTGCATGATGTCACTTTCTCCTTTATCAGTTCACAAGCCTCCACAGGTACGATGGTGGTCGCTCTGAGTACACTTTGCGATTGAACTACAACTGATAGTTGTTGATTTATTGTCGATCCGCTTGGTGGATGGATCAGCCTCGACGTTAAAGCGTCTGAGTTGTAGTGGATTGGGGGTGAATTCTGCGGATCATCTGGTCACAAAGCAATTTTCTTCCGGCAAACTTTGTGGGTTGTGGAATTCGTGTGGATATGCTGCTCGGATGGCAGCGTTAACCCTGTGTTAGAGCAATGCACACCGAAAAGACTTCTCAGGATCTGTTCTCAGGACTCCCCAGATCCCGGTCCTGTCAAGCCTGAGCAGGATGGAAACAAACTAGATTTCCCACAAATAAGAGTACCAGAAAGGTCCTGTGACTGGTCAGGGACTTTGGTGTGACGGTTGAGACAGTTTTAATACTGGTGATGTTTAAGACATTAAATTAATTGCATTTTTTTATGATCACAGTCCTAACCCGAACTGTTTTCTGATCTAATGCCAAGAAGTAGAGAAATGGCGGCTTCAAACAGCAGATATTTGTCTGGATTTAAAAAAAAAAGAACAAAATGTGGGCTACATTATAAAACTACTTGTATATAGATTACAGCTACAGTGATTGTTCTTAAACATTTGTTACACACAATCTCTGTATCCTGGTCTTTAATTCTTTAGGAACCCTGCAAAGAAACTGCCAGCTTGCCCAGAAGACGAAGCTCACACCGCAACAGCAGACTCAGCGACCGGCCCATGTCTCTGCAGGGTGAGTCGTTATCAGCCCACTTTTCCTGACTTTCATTATTTAAGCCCACGATTGCTCAAGAGACGTTTGTAATAAAGAACAATAAACATGTCCACTGAGCTATCATGTTCTCATCCTCTCTGTTTGTTTAGTTCCCTCCCATTAGTCAAATCAAAGGTGTGTCGGTGGAGTTGGAAGGTGGTTTTTATGTTGGTGGAGGGCAGGATTTTCCTGTACTGAAAGGTTGAGTAGTGGAAGCACCCATATGCTTAAGCCGAAAATCCCCTAGGTCGTATCAGTTTTTATGCCTACAAATATTGCCTGAACTACAGGGTCGTGTCAAGTCTTGTAAGGCCTAAGCTCTTTCTTTATCTTTCACTAAGTCGCCCCTGACTGTTAGAACTACAATTGCTGATGCAATTGCAAGTCAACTTCTTGTTAATCAACCCCCACTTACAGGATTTCTATCTTGTCACATCTTCCATTAAACTGTTTGTCCTGACTTGTTGTTCTCACCTGCCTTTCGCTGCTTTTTCGCCTTCCACAGGGTTGGTAAGGATGCTTCCCGACAGCCAGGCGACTGAGGCCTACACTTCCCCCATTACCTCCCATAGATTCAGCAACGGGCACGGTGACGTGCACAGACCAGGGACCAGCAACGGGATCCTCACTCCATGCAACAGTGTGACAAGCTCTCGAGCTGCCAGGTCAGTTTCCTCACTGCTGGCTCAAAGAGCGCTTTTATAAGAGTTGCTCATCTGTGGCGCCGCTGGTGATCAGATCTCTTAATGTTCCCATAAAAGTCACATCCTGAATTGAGTCTCACTGCTTGTGTCACAGTTATGCCCAGTTTTCTGTATCTTTTTGTATCTGTTTGAAGCTCGCACATAACCACCGGGATGGCCTATGGCTATGGTGTCTGTTGTTAATAATAACATGCAGCCAACGCATTGAAAAGAGTAGAAATATCTCTTCAAACAGGTACTTATTTGTTAAAAATGGTAAATCCAGTTAATACAAGATTTCTGTTTTTACAGTGCAAACACACAGCAATAATAAAAGTACATTCTGCAGTCTGTTTCATTCATTTTCAAATGAGCTGTATTCAGACAGTGGCATGCACTCAACAGGAAACCTTGGCCTGGATCTCCATTATCCAGCTATCCTCTTGCTACTTATCAGTCCAAGTTCCTAGAGGCTAAGTCATCAGACAGTTGCTGATGGTTGCTCAGATTGGGAACTTTTGGTCTTTGAGGGTAAAAAAAGGAAAAAAAAATGTTTTAGTTCTCCATTCCATAAAAGGTCTGACAGGCGGTGAAACAAGTTTTTACCTGGAAGAACTGTAAATTGTACCCTAATAACAGCCCATATCAACACAACATGGCTAACTGGAACCGGGAATGTTTTAAAAGTAAATACAGCAGAAAGAAATAAACAATAATGATTCATGTTCATTTTACGTGGTTACTTTTATGAAGATACAAGTTTTATTGTTTTTTTTGTCCTCTTAATGTTATACACGATGGCAGTATTGTGTAATGTAAAACTTGTGGACGTTGTGTTTAACAGTTATTATTATTGGATTCTAAACAAATAGCAAGTATACACTCATGTTTACTGTCCGTATCGGATCTTTAACTGAATTTACGGAAATTCAATAAATGTACCTTCCTCTATTATCAATTTAACAAAAATCTAAATGAACTTCCAGTTTCCGTAGCTCACGGTTTTATCTCTGTCATCTTAGTTGCAATTTTGATAAATCGATGCATCTTCTTATAAATGCAGCCAAATCTTTTTGTTTGTTTTAAGGAATTCTGATGGGTTTTTTTTGTTTTGTTTTTTTTTGTCTCCTTCCAGCCCGTGTCTTTTGGATCTTGTAGAGATTGAGAGGAAATTGAGGGAAGCCAAAGCAGAGAGAGAGAGGCTACTCAGAGAAAGGGTGAGTCACCTGTCGTGGGAAACACTCGCCAACATGTCTAATCATCGGCGACACGCCGCATTAGACTTGGCTGTCTGATTCCTGACACCCACTCAGCTCACATATGACTGTCCAACAAGACGCCCAGCAGATTTATGAGTTTTGTTTAGGCTTGCTTGCAGCATTCAGCTGTTTTGGAACATCGTCAGCATTATCTTCCAATGTCCAGTCACCTTGAAACAGTGGTCACTGGTTTTGATGCCTATTAGCTAACTTGAATGCGTGCACGCACCCAGGAAGAACGACGGCTGTTGTTGCTGGAGGAAAGAAGCAGAGAACTGAACTCATCCAGAGAAACACCATCCAAGCCAGAGATCCAGAGGCCAGAAGCAGAACCAAATGAGTTACCAAAGGCTATTTCCCCTCAAAACTCCCCTGAGGTAAGAATGACATTGCAACTATGAAGCAATCAATTGTAAATTAATCAAACGTGTGTAAATTATTCTTACATTGAAAAATTTACAGATAAAAATCCTTTTTTTCAGCAGAACCACAAATGTTAAATATTTACAATCCTTTTTATTATCCTTTTTCCTCCTTTTTTCCTACTGTGCCAATAATGCACCTCAACCAGATGACTTAAACACCTTAAGTGTGTATTTGAAGAAGCATGTTGCCATTTAGTAGAATACATGAACAGCAATGAAAATGGAAGAGAAAATATGCGAGGCTTATGGGTTTTTTTTACTTCTAGCCTGCCAAATTCTCCAGAAACATTTCCCAAAATTCATCTCTGCCATGTATCATTAGGCTTTCCTCTCCTTGTTAACACCAAATCTGTCCAACATCTGTTCTTTTTTAGCCGTATAATAAACTTTTTTCCACCGCCGTTATCCTGTACAATTCGTTTCCAGCGTCCGATCACAGAGAGCCTCTTTTGAGACTCAAAAACAAGTGTACCCATTCTTGAATGTCACCAAATGCTAATGGGATTTTCCATGGAAAGGGAACTATTCTGAGGCCCATTTTAAACTCCAGCTGTCTCTGCAGCGGCGCAGCCTGCCCCTCTTCCTCTCTGCGAACTTTGACCTGCGGGCCCACGTGGAGTCTCTGGGTCACGGGGTCGCCGGCTGCACGGACCTGCGGCTGACGTCCCGACGCTGTGCGGGCTTCCTGACCAAACGAGGGGGCAGGGTGAAGACGTGGAAGAAGAGATGGTTCCTGTTCGACATGGATTGCAGACGACTAGCCTACTATACAGGTTAGACAGGTTGGAGGAACTTTGTGTGCTCGCTGGCTTTGAATGTGTGTCCGTGCATTTGCATGAATGAAAGGCCTCTGTGTGTCACAGCATTGTAGTCCAGTAAAGGGGACTCATTGTGTTAAGATACACAAACGCTGCATTGGTGCACCTTCTCTGTAGTTCAAATGCTGTTTTGTTTATTTAATATTAGCTATAGATATAGAACAATGGATTAGATTTGTTGTAACCTTCTCTTTTTCCTTCTTGGCTGTTGTCCCATTGCAGACTGTGATGAGAGAAAACTGAAAGGAGTCATCTACTTCCAGGCAATAGAAGAAGTTTACTATGACCATTTAAGAACAGCTGCCTCTGTGAGTCCTTGTGCTTCACTCAAATTGACTTTGACAGATCTAATTAGTTCTTTGTCTAAATGTCAGATCTTTTTGCCAATTTTTACACAGTCTGCCTTCATACAACATTGGTTTCTAACTGTTGTTTAAACTGTAGGCTTAAATGAGGTTTAAATCCCCTTAATCACAGTGAAAAGGGAATGAAACTTGAAGTCTTGTTTAAACTTGTAGATCTCTCCACATATTGAAATAATCTCTACAAGCAGGGCTGTCAGGTCTAACAGTCCTTATTATTACAGAGTCCAAATTGTTTGAGTTCTTCCAAATGGGCGCATGATTGACAGATCATAGGCCTGGCAGATTTGTAGAGGATTAGGAGGAAAAATAACGAGCTATTCTTGCCTCAATTTTAGACAGATGTCTGTGAGCTGTGTTTTATACAGTTCAGATCAACAGAAATATTAAATCGGTCCAGCTTATGTCTTTAAAAACCTCTGTGTGAGCTGAGATGACTTACAGAGATACATTTATTTAATTTTACAAACCCGTAGGTCTCATCAAAGAGCTGCTTGTTCTTCATAGCTTATCACATTATCACTCTTTGTCTCTTCCTTTTAGTCTCCAAGGCCCAGTTTGACATTCTGTGTGAAGACATATGACCGCCTCTTCTTTCTGGTGGCTTCTAATGCAGTGTCCATGAGGATCTGGATAGATGTCATTGTCACGGCAACGGACGAGCACAGCCGTTACTGAACTTTCCCAAATGTGACTGTCAAGCTAAGAGTTAAGCTACTGAGCAGGCAACGCAACAGGAGGACTTGTCCCCCCAAAAACTGTCTAGTTTGGCCGTACGCCTGCCTTCTTGGAGTAACGAACCTCATGCAGAGGTACGATGGAGTGGGACCTCAAGAGATGATCAAATAATGAGGAGGAAGCTGTTACAAACCCAGGGCTGGTGACAGGAGTTCATCAGCAGCACACCAGTGGAGGAAACGAATCACAAGCCTCCACATTGGAGGCTGTTACAGGAAGGCATTTCTCTCTGGCTTTGACCGCCCCCTGCTGGTCATAATCCTGCATTACAGGACTTGAAGAACACTACAGAACAGTGGAGCAGCGCACACGTGCACACAATGACAGAAACACCTGCTTGTTATGGTTCATTGCAGTCTAACAGTGCACTTTAGCCAGATATTGGTGAGGTTAAATTACTTTGGTTCCTGTTCATATGTCCTCATCATGGTTGTTTGTTGTATGTATGTTATGTTTTTCAAAATTGTATGGGTTTAATTTTCAAATCAGCAAAGATGTACTCATATTCATGCACTATAAATTTTTATTCATATAAACTTTGATTTTGTTTCCTCTCCTTTTATTCTTCACATATTACTTACTAGACTCTATTATTTTTAACGAATGGGTTTTCAGTAAAAAAAAAAATCTCCTGCATAAATATGAAACCTTTAAATCAACTACGTACACGCATCAAGTCAAATATATAAAAACCTCCTGGACACATTTTGTAAGAACTATACATTTATAATCTGTTTTTGTTGTCCACTGTTTCTGACTCTTTCTATTGGCCAGTTTAATTCAAGTGGAGTTTTTTTTTTAATTCTCAACTGACTAAAAAATGTGTGACTGTTGCACATTTTCTTTCATAATTTCCTGTTGTTTTAAAATTCTTGCTTGCTGAAACTGATAGACATCTATGTAGACCTCAGGCACGTAATGATTCCTACACATCCTCTTTTATTTACTTCTTTATTTCTTTTAGGTAGCTGCTTGCTGTTTTTAAGGTTTAATCATGTCAGCATTACATTAAGTGTAGAGAGTAAGAGACTCTTCATGCTCGTAAACAACATTTTCTCTCATTTAGTACCAAATTAATATTATGAGTGTTTCTAATACTATCCAATTATTGTGTTGACTTTAGTGGCACAAATTCTTTTCATTTCTCAGTTTCATAGCACACAAATATGAAGCTATTTAGTCAACATTACTCACGAATCCGAATCAACACCTTTTACATGATTTGAAATGGTACTGTGGCTCTTTTTGAAAAGAGCTGAGGTGTAGAGGGCGAGTCTGAAGCCTGTTATTTTGCTGAGTGTCCCTCCCCACACGCACATTTTACAGCAGCCGTGTGTGTATCACCCAGACGCACCACCAGTGTGAGACGTCTCACTTGTTGGGTTGTTACCAGTGAACCTTCAACGCTGGTAAAACTCTCCTATGTTTCTTCAGGAATTATATAAAAACAGTTCTTATCTAATAAAAAAAATGCCCAGGACTACCTGATAAAAATGTTTTAAATCTTTTTCTACTTTTAGAAAGGAACGACCTACTCTATGGTGAGCACCACTCTTGGCTTTAAGGTAAGACCCAACCCATAAACTAGAATGAGTGTTTGCTGAAAAATATTAAGACAACTCTGATTAAAACTGGATCTATAAAAATGTTTGTTACGTTGTTGCAATTTTTAACAGTTTTCTTTTTCATTTGCATGGCGTTTGATGTCTCATCTTAGAAGTCACTTCTATGTTTTAGACATGTTAAAACATATGATGCACAAATTCTATAATAAACATATTAAAAATAGTTTATTTTTACATTTTAAATTGTGGTTTAAAAAGAGAGCTTGAATTACAGTTTAAATGTATGAAAGTATGTATGAAAGTGTTCATTTAAACAACTCACTGAAAGTTAGCTGCTTAAGACTTTTTAAGCAGCCAATTCCAACTGATTTTAAGAAAAGGAAAATTATGTACCACCTTGATCTAAAATGAATTTCCAAGAATCATGATTTTCACTTGTTTTATGAGCAAAATTTAAATATCACCAAAAAGATATCCACCTGAATTCATGAGAAAATGAATGCCTTTCTTTCCGTACCTCCCTTCAGAATCCACACGTGATAGAAAAGCATGACAGCTGCTGTAAAGGTTTTCTTAACATGCTGTTTACTTAGAGGTGAGCTTTTATTCAAAATTGTGTTTGATTATTCAAATGTCTTCCATCACATGTAAAGTTGTATTGACATTAATTCTGGTGAGTGTCTATGTCTCAGTGTCTCTATGTTTCAGTGGCATGTGTGTGCATATATATACTGTATATACATAAATTTACAGTTTTGGTTATTTTAAATGAAATGTTTGCCTTTGATGAATACTTACTTGGTGGTGCCTTTGCCACAGGTAGCTTAAGCCAGGATTGGGCAATCTTCCTGCCTCAGACAGTGGTGGGCCTGAGTGGATCCTGTGTGGTGATCCCTTGCAGTTTCACCCTGCCCTCAGACTACGAACAGCACCTGGATGGTTCATGTAGAGCCATATGGAAAAGAGGCAGATGGGGCCGAACGCAGGTGTTCGATTCCAGCCTCACTGGAGAGCGCATGAGCTTGAACCTCTTGCAGGGAAACCTGATTGGGGACCTGCACAATAAAGACTGCACCACCATCTTCAACAACCTCCCATCAAACCATTATGGCAGCTACGACTTCAGACTGGAGTGTGACAACGCTCTGAAATATAACTTTAAAACAAATGTTTGGATCTCCACTCAAGGTGGCCTATGTCCTGTCCTGCTCCTCTTGAACATGCAAACCACGTCTTTATGTATCTTTAACTTGGCCTGCGTATTCATTGTCATCCTACTTTCCAGATTCCCTCCCTAGACCTACAATTACTCCATCCAGGCTGGAGGTCGAAGAAGGGACTCCAGTGACACTGAACTGCTCAGCTGCTGCTCCCTGTCCCATTCTTCTCCCAGTTTTCACCTGGACGCCCAAAATAGGTGACGTAGAGGAGGACATGGAGGCAAAACCTGTGACTTCGGTTATGAGCTTTAATGCCTCCTACCTTCACAATGGGCAGACGTTCGTTTGCACCATTCTCTACAACCGACAAGCTGGGAACAGTGATGTTATTTATGAACAGAGTTTGACCCTGAGTGTTTTTTGTGAGTATGCTTCTTCTGTCTTCACCCAGTTTATGTCAGGTGACATGGTTTCTACATGGATGTATTTGTAGATATATGAAAAAAAGACATCACAGATATGGTAGGTTGGATTTGAAACGGCTGATAATAATAATAGTCTGTGGCTAAACTCTAGGTTTTATTTGTCAGCCTCAGAGGTTTTCACGTGGTAACTTTGTCGAATGGGAAAATAGGCCCATTGTCTGAACCCTCGCTGGTCTGAACCTCTTGTGCTTTTCAAATCTTATCTTTCAGATCCTCCAAACAACACAACAGTCAGTTACTCTGGTCCCGTCAGAGAGGGCAGCGTGGTGACTCTGACCTGCAACACTAATTCAAATCCAGCTGCGGACAGCTTTACCTGGTACAAAGTCAATGAGCATCAAGTGGAGGCAGTGGGGTCTTATCAGAGGCTTTCAACTACAGTCACAGAAGTTGACAGACAGTTTTTCTGCAGAGTCAGCAACAAATACGGAGGCCAGAACTCTTCCATTGCTGATATAGATGTTCAGTGTAAGTCAAGTGAAGTACAAATGTACAAATGTGTTATGTGGTCTTCATTTGCTCTTAGATTTGTTTGTGTTTTGCAGTTCCTCCAAAGGATACAATAGTAATTATGGACCCCGCTGGTCCTGTCCTGGAGGGGAGCTCAGTTTCTCTGCTCTGTAGTAGCCGTTCAAACCCACCAGTGACCAACTTCACCTGGTACAGGAACAGTGAATTGGACCAGGAGACCGGACCAGTCTTGGGTATTGATGTTGTGGACCTCGACCATAGCGGCGACTATCAGTGTGCGGCAAAAAATGACCTGGGAGAAGAAACATCCACAAAGCTTGAGCTGGACGTTCAGTGTACGTCAACACAGAGCACACACCGATTTACACTGCGAGCAAACAAAAGGGCAGTAAGTCATGCTGGATATGGCTCTGCTGCATGTCCAGCTGGGCATACCCAAACAGGATCTGGAGCCAAGATTCATTCACATGGGTAACAGTGGTGTCTGGACCAGGGACAGTGAGGCATTGTCATGTGCACGACAACCTCAAAATCCTCCCTGTGTTAGTGGCCCGTCGCGATGAAGCACATGTGTGTGTGACAGTGTTTCAGCTGCTGTGTAGATGGTTTGTCTGGTATGTCTTCATTAGAAGTTGACTTCAGAAGATAAAAGTGGCCCCAATTTAAAAAAAGGATGCCCAAAAATTTTTATTGTGGAACCTCCTACAGTTAAACCACTGCCTCATCCGTGCTGTGATGTATGTAAAAATGACAAATGATTCATCAACATTAGTCCATAATTTCTCCCCCAAAATATATTTTTTCTTGAAATTTGTCTCCAACATAAGAAGATATTGAGAAATTAACTGAAAGATATAAAATCCTTGTATGCAGTGGTTTCATAGTGGAACATGATCTTCACCAGCACATGGAAAAGCCAAGCATTGACCATGTTTCTCAGTGTTTTTAGGATTTTTATCAATGTTAGATTCATTGACTGACTCATTTCTGCCACCGTCTGGAAAAACGCATAACTTGGTAGTTCTGGTGTAGAAAGAGAGCCACAATATTAATTTCCATATTCAAATAAAACTCACCTTGATTTTTACAGGCAGTAAAATGTGAATAAATTGTACTTTTCAGTTCCCCCCAAGAACACCTCGCTGTCAGCTGACCCCTCTGGTCCAGTTCCGGAAGGCACATTGGTTACTCTGACCTGTACAAGCTTTGCCAATCCGGCAGAAGTAAACTTCACCTGGTTTCGAGCGTCTGGAGGAGAAAAAGAGCCGGTTGGCTCTGAGCCAGACTTCACCTTCAATGTGACCAAACTCACAGAGGATCAATATTACTGTGAGGCTCTGAATGTCCACGGGGCCGATTCCTCCGAACCTGCAACCGTTGATGTCACATGTAGGACTTTATCATTTTGAGTCATGTCCTTTTTTCTAACATTGCTGCAAAGCATGAATGATAGTTTTTTTTCCTGTTTTTTTTTTACACAGTTCCTGCAGAAATCCTGTCCTCGTCCCGCTGCGTCAGAATTTTATCCCAGTTTCGATGTTCCTGCAACAGCCAGGGGAACCCGCTTCCCTCCCTGGTTTGGGAATTGGCCGGGGAACCCGTCAATCACTCTGCAGACATCCCAATCCGAGAGATAACCCTCGGGAGTGGAACTATTAAGAGCGTCATCACCCTTTATCGCCGGGAAGAGGACGTTCCTTCTCTGATGTGTCTCAGCAGCAACTCACTGGGCTCTGATAGTTTAGCATTCAATGTGTCGTCCAGTGAAACCCCGCTAGGTGACTTATTCCACAGGAAGCTGCATTCATGTGTTTGCTTTGTGTCATTCGCCTGTATTCCTGACTGGTCATTTTTTGTGGGAACCTTTCAGGCCTACATCTTTTATCTCTTCTGATCGGCTCTGCAGTCGGGGCATTCGGGATGTTCCTGGTGTGCCTCCCACTGCTTATATGCTGCTGCAGGTGAGAGACACAGAAACACCAACCCCACTGCTAACAAACCTACAGGAAAGAGCAGAGGCACATACTGAAGTCGTGCTTAGAAGTCTGACTCGAAGATCAGTGGTCTGGTGAATGTCAGTGATTTAAGGGAGGAAAGATGGTTTCCTGTCTTCAGCTTTGACCCGGTTTTGACATGTGCATGCATGAATCACCAACGTCACAGCTAATATAGATATTTTCCATCATGCAATTTACAGAATCAACCATTACAATTCAAGTTTTAACCGCTCGTCCCTTCAAAACCTAGAAAAGATACTTCATCTATACAATCTGATTTAGACATTTCAATCGCATATACAGTACTAAGCAAAAATGTATATGTTGGCTTCAGGAAAAGACAAAGGAACCTTCCGTCGGACAAGGAACAGACGGGAACTTCACACCACGTAGTAACCGATGAGGTAAGTTTACATCATTTGGAGCATATCTGCCTCTTATGTGTGTAGTTTTGTTATAGATTTAAAATACAGGAGATTCTTCCTGCTGATGTCTCTGTTTGTTATTGTGGTAAGTAGGTTAAGTCACCATCAGCGGAGAGAACATACTTATGTTGGGCTGCAGCTGCATAGTTTATTACATTTGAACAAAGCTTACTTCATTACTGCAGTTTTGTTTTCATGCATAAAAAAGTGGCCCTGTCTTTGCGCGATACTGAAGCCGATGCTCTGGTGTCTCTGTAGACCAACTCTGTACCTTTAAGTGTGGTTTTCGCCAATAAGGCCATTGAGGGGGAGGACGGAGAAAGCACAGAAGATAATCTCCACTATGCCAATGTCGACTTTGCTAAACTCCAGGCCAGACCACTGGATGATATTGGGGAAGGTGAGATTAGAGGACTTGCTTCCAAGACTGCCGTGTATGCCAAAATCTGCCTGCAGTGCACAGAAAGCACTGAGGGGGAATGCAATGGAGGGAAAAAAACTTGTTGACGCTCATTTGGGCAATGGAGAAATGCAGGTGGTCTCACAGGAAAGATCAGCAAGAGTTCAACTGTTAAATCAGGAAACATTTAATCCAGAAATTCTGAATTCTGGACTTAAAGTGTCTTTAAATCTGCAAGAGTGAAGGTCAGATGGGTCCTGCAGACATCTTACTCAAAGCCATGCTACACTTTTGTTAGAGATAGTTCAATATCTGTTAAATGTCAAACTCTGTCCTTAAAACCATATTTGTTTTGCTGTGATGAATACTGTATAACTATTTAATATTATGTTAAGGCTTGGCTACTGTTTCTCTTACTTTTGTCTAACATCTGTTTCTTAACACCTTTTGTTATGTGTGAAATGTGATAAAAAAACTTTATATTCAAAACTTTGAATTTGAATTTTATTATAGTTCTTCCTGCAATTTAGACGACTGTTAAAAAAGGGGTGAAGACAAAGTAGCTTTTACAGAACCATGTGCACGGAGCATCATACATTGTTTCAATATGCAGTCATCCGAAAAAAAAAGAAAAGGTAATGACGTCGAAAGCTTAAAAAAAAACTAACCTCGATTACTCGGTGTTATCAGCTTATTCACAAAGTTTTTGTCAAACTGAGGGGATCATATGCTGGTTTATTGTGGATCGGTAATCAACAACCCGCCCCTACGCCTCAAACTGAAGCAAACATGCATTTAAATGATATTCAGGCAATGGTAAAAAACAACATCAAAGGTGTGATCCATATTTAGACTGGACCTGGTGATTGGAGTTGGACATAAATGAACTAAATAAGGTGTTTGAGAGCTCAGAGTTTGACCTGAGAGTATTGAGTCTCATCCTCTGAGGTGCTGGAGTCGCTTTTCTCTCTTTGGTTTCCAGACTTTGGCTTAAAGTTCACCTGAGTGTAGCTGACCTCCACTTCGTCGTCACTTGTATCTGAGGTGTCACTGCTGTCGTAGCTGTAAGGATTTGGACGTTTGGCTGCATGTACATCAACAATATTTTCGTAGTCTTGCAGATTTCCCTCTTGTTGTTCTTCCTGAGGGGAGGCAAACATGTGACAAAGTAACTCTCCTGACAGTGACTGGAATTCAAAACTGTCTTTTTTCAAACTGCAAAAGAATCACAGCTGACTATGAAGCATGGCTTAAAGGTTTCAGACCTTAAATGGTTTGCACACTTTAGAGTACACAGCACCCTCCTCTGGTTTCCTACAAAACACACATCATCATACGGTTTACCATTGACACTAATAAGATTTTACCGCCTCTCCTAATAAATGAAAACAGCTAGTTCTCACTTCTGCTTGTTGTCAAAGTGCAGAGAAGCATAGTTGAGGGAGTCACTCTCCATGCATCCATGCTGCTGTCTGACTGGATTTTGCACAGGGAGGGCCTGCACACATGCAGACGGAAGAAGTCAGTGAATCCCCTCATTCATGCTCTAAAATGACAGCTTTATGTTGTCCATTGATTCGCTGCTGTACAATAGGAAAGCTAAATGCCAACTGGGAAACATTTATTTACAGAAAAAAACGTTGAATACATAGTTACAGCAGACGGAGGGAAGAGCAACAGCTTGATTAATCAGAGAATCATCTGTTTGGCTTTAAAAGGAATCTAGAAATAAATATTCTTAGACCCTGTAGTCACTACAGATATATGCAAAGAAGTAGGCACTTAAAAGCTCTACAGGCAATATATTGTGTATGCTTAGGCCCCTGAGTTATTTACTTATTTTAGTAACTCAGTTTTGTTGAAATAGAAAAAAAAAAGCAAACGTGGTTGAGGGATCGACCATCAAATCGAAATCTGGCATCAGAATTGTTTATATAAATCAATCTTAAATTAATCGATTAATTTATCTAAATCTCTATGTATTAATCATTGGAAAGAATTGCCCTGCAAACCCATTAGGGAATAAGCAGTTACGATGATGGATGGATGGATGGATGGATGGATGGATGGATGGATGGATGGAT